TAATTCCCCTCGTTTACTGATGCACACCCACCAAACCTGAAAGTCAGTTGCCCTGTTGTTATCTTTTCATTCAGCAGCCTAACAGCCCATGGACAGAAGCTGTTCTTTACCCTTTTGGTGCGACAAATCATGCTTCTATATCTTCTGCTTGAGGGCAGGAGATCAAGAAAGTGCCGGCCAGGGTGTGAATCATCCCTGAGATTTTTCCTCACTCTCCTGAGGCAACGTTCTTCCGCGATGTCATCCAGTGGATTCACGGCACAGCCCATAATATCTTGTGCTGTATTCACCACCCACTGTAGGCACTTCCTATCAGCTGATGTCAAACCAGCATACCACACTGTGATGCAGTATGAAAGGACACTTTCTATTGTTGACCGGTAGAAGGAGATCATCTAATGTTGATTGACATCGTTCTTTCACAATACTCTGAGGAGATGGAGTCTCTGTTGGGCTTTCTTAACGGCCTGGGTTGTATTGATTTTCCAAGTAAGGGCTTCACTGAGATAAACTCCTAGGAATTTAAAGGAAGAGACTCTCTCCACACAGCCCTCCCTGATGTACAGCGGGGCTAGTTCTCCTCTCTTCCTCCGAAAGTCCAACACCATCTCTTGTACTAGACTTCAGCCTTTGCATACCCAGAACCCACCTTTAACCCATTCCTTAATTTTTAACATATATAGTGGTACCTCAGGTTACATACGCTTCAGGTTACAGACTCCGCTAACCCAGAAATAGTGCTTCCGGTTAAGAACTTTGCTTCAGGATGAGAACAGAAATCGTGCTCCGGCGGAGCGGCAGCAGCAGGAGGCCCCATTAGCTAAAGTGGTGCTTCAGGGTAAGAACAGTTTCAGGTTAAGAACGGACGTCCGGAACGAATTAAGTACTTAACCTGAGGTACCACTGTATCTGTCTGGTGATAGTGCTGATGTCACAACTCACATAACCTGGTAGTCTGTCCTGACTCAACCGTTGGTCTAGCGCATCCCCTGAAAGTTTTTGGTGGAATCTGAGTCTCATACCCACAGAATCTTACCTTTCCACAAAAACTTCAAACTCAGGTCTATTGTTTCTAAACTGAAGGGGAGAAAGCAGCAGTACTTACATTGCCCTCACATTCCTGCGCAGACACAGGGAAGGCCTCAAAGACAGTAGGGATATCAGTTTTGAATGAATGAATATGGAACACGGTGAAATTTTAAAGCAAACACAAAGTGCAACTAGTAAGTTATTAGTGCGCTGAAAACAACACTTCAATACAAACCGGAGGTTTCTGCCTTAAAAAAAACCCACACAACTACCCAACCTCAATATGGAGTGCAGTGTGATGCAATTGCAATTATAGTGCAAGGTATCTGAGCTTGCACATAGGACACGGGTGGCACTGTGGGTTAAACCACAGAGCCTAGGACTTGTCGATCAGAAGGTCAGCAGTTCGAATCCCCACGACAGGGTGAGCTCCCATTGCTCAGTCCCTGCTCCTGCCAACCTAGCAGTTCGAAAGCACGTGCAAGTAGATAAATAGGTACCGCTCTGGCAGGAAGGTAAACGGCGTTTCCGTGCACGGCTCTGGTTCGCCAGAAGTGGTTTAGTCATGCTGGCCACATGACCGGGAAGCGGTACGCCGGCTCCCTCAGCCAATAAAGCGAGATGAGCGCCGCAACCCCAGAGTCAGCCATGACTGGACCTAATGGTCAGGGGTCCCTTTACCTTTACCTTATCTGAGCTTGCAGCCATCCACAACGAGCTATCATTACTATAGGGTGTTATCATGGCAGTTAAACATATATGACTTCTTCACAGAGTTGGAAGGTAAGCTCACTGGCGGCTGCTAGCAATAATAGCAACACTGCCTTTCAGAGACAATGTGTTTCTGACTACCAGATGTTGGGGATTAACAATATGAGATGGATATTGCCGTCACGCCCTGCAGGCGAACCTCCTTGAGGCTTCTGTCTAGCCACTGCCAACAGAGCGGATGCTGAGCTAAATGGACCATTGTTGCAACCCAGCATGCTCCTTCGCAAACGTACACAGGTCCAAATGTTAAACCACAAATCCTATAAAACGGAGGCATCTGATTTAGATTTAATTTAGATTTCTCTTTTTAAAGCGTCTCAAAGAATATAATTTCTAGACAACAGCGCCACCCAGAGGCCAGCAAGTCACACGTGTACCCCTCCAAAAGTTTATTTGACTAATTATCCTAAACAACAGTGCCACCCAGGGACCAATGACTTACTAGCAGGTTTATATAAGTATATATTAGAAGAAATCTATATGAACTCCGAATAAAGCACAGTAGCCTAGTCTCCAGCCTAAGCAGTATGAACTGGAAGCAGCATGCAACTTGCATTACACAGCAGTGCTGCTGCTGTCAAAGGCTTTGCATTTGTAACATCCATACAAACATTGACAGCATGGCTTGTATCCAAAGTAGCACTCAGCCAGTTGTTCCATTAGCGGGAGGATTTCTGCTTGTGCAATGGAACTCCTCCCTCTACTCCCCCTGCACTCCCCTAAATCTGTTCCAGAGCTTATTTTGGGAGGATGTGGGGTGCATGTGGGGAGAGGAAGTTCCATTGCACAAGTGTAAATCCTTGTGCTAACGGAGCAACCGCATGCTACTGCCCATATGTTGGCAAAAGAAGTGATGGAATGCAAACGTTTGCAAATGAATGTAAAATGACTAGAATTATAGCGCTTCAAGAGCCATAATAATAATATATTTATACCCAGCCCATCTGGCTGGTTTCCCCAGCCACTCTGGGCAGCTCCCAACAGAATGTTAAAAACACAATAAAACATCAAACATTCAAAACCTCCCTAAACAGGGCTGCCTTTAGATGTCTTCTAAAAGTGAGATAGTTTTTTATTTCCTTGGCATCGGATGGGAGGGCGTTCCACAGGGCGGGCGCCACTACTGAGAAGGCCCTCTGCCTGGTTCCCTGTAACTTTGCTTCTCACCGTGAGGAAACCGCCAGAAGGCCCTCAGAGCTGGACCTCAGTGTCCAAACTGAACGATGGGGGTGGAGATGCTCCTTCAGATCCATGCAGACCTTTTCCTGTTACATATTTTCCTAAAGGTGTTGTAACCTGGCCTCACACTGGGCTGCAATCCGAACCAAGTACACTTAGTCGAAGTTCTAGTCCCATTGAACTGGATGAAACTGACTTCCAAGTGGACATGTACAGGATTGAGCAACAATGGGTCTACGAAACACCTCCCCGACCACACTTTTTTTAACAACATCCAACCCATTAAAAATAATTATATTTTATTAAGGTGATTTCAGTTAAAAGAAATAAAGTGATACAGGAAAAAAGAAGGAAAAGTGAGAGGGAGAGAAATAACAAGAAAGATACATCTAAAAACTAAAATATACACACACAAAAAGCAATATATATTACTATACATTCTTGTATAAATTGGTTGTTGTTTTTTGTCCGAGTGCTTATGTAAATGCTAATAGCCTACTACAATTTGTATAAACTCATTCCAAATCTTATTGTATTTATCCATACGGAGCATAGCTGTCAACCTTTCCCTTTTCTTGAGAGGAATCCTATTCAGAATAAGGGAATTTCCCTTAAAAAAAGGGAAACGTTGACAGCTATGATACAGAGTCTGTACCTGTAGGCAATCAGTACATAAATTGCCAGTGATATCATATCATCAGTCCAGGGGATCATATCTTTATTTTTCCAATTCCTCAACACTCAACCCTATAAACAGGTAGCAGGGAATCCCACAAAGTCACTGGACCAAACTTAGAAATGTAAGAGATGGAAGGGACCCAAGAAGACTTTCTAGTCTGACCTCCGCAAGGCAGAAATCTCAAGTGAAGCCTCCAGGCCATCTAACCTCTGCTTAAAAACCTCCAAGGAAGGAGACTCCACCACTTTCCCGGGGAGTCACGTGAAGGATTGCAGCCTGAGACTTATAAACGCCTGGATGGCTCAGTTGGTGAGGGTGTGGTGCTGATAACGCCAAGGTCGCAGGTTTGATCCCCTTATGGGACAGCTGCATATTTGGGTTGGACTAGATGATCATCAGGGTCCCTTCCAACTCCACGATTCTATGAAACTGTTATCTGGATTTGCCACTGATCAGCGTGGGCATAACCAAGTGGAGGCAGCTGCCCCCCAAATAAACAAAAAACTGAGGTTCTGCTCCCCCTAACAAAGATTCTGGCTATGCCATGCCCACCCAGATATGCTGGTTTTCTAAAAACACAGATAGTTTCTCATCATATTTATGAGAAACCTCCTGACTCCTTTCCCGCTTTCCACACCGCTCTTTTTTATTTCATTAATAATAATTTTAATAGTTTTCAGTTACAATCCAATAACAGCCTCATTATAACAATACCAATTTATAATACAATTATTCAGTGCTTTTTTTCTGGGGGGTCGCAGGGGGACGCATACCCCTAAACAGTTTGTGAATCTAAGCTTGGCCTCGTTGAGAGGCAGTATTTCAATATGAGTAGGAAAATGAGAGCACCCCTAAACATTTGTTTTTAGAAAAAAGCACTGCAATTATTAACACCAATCGTTCGAATACCGAATTATAATTCTTCTTCTTTTTATTTTAAACCCCTTTTCACTTAACAATAGGAAGGGAACCTACCCCAAACGATGCTGACATAAAAACCTTACTCATGTGCCAAGTTGGAAAAACGAAATTTTTTTTAGTGTGTTTATCCCCCACCCGCTCGTCTTTCCCCACTGGATACCACATTGCCTTACAATGAACATAACCAAAAGACTACTTATTACTATGATGATGATGCCTCCTATGCCCGGAGGTCTGAACCAGAAAAGAAAGAGAGGAGAGATTGCACGTTCCTTCGTCATTCATAAAAATCATTTTAAAAACCCCACAGAGCTGAAGCGGACTCGAAAGCAGCCAGTTTGTCCTCCTAAACCATAGAGGCTGAGCTGCAGAGCGGCACCCGGAAGGAGCGCGCCGGAAGGGCCGCGCACGCGCGTTGTTGTTTCGCTCGCGTCCGTCGTGAGGAGAGACGCGAGGGGCGGCGAAGGTGCGCTGCGCGCGTGGGTTTGGGCGCCGAGACGTCCCTTCCGCGGAGCCCCGGTGCGCGCGGTCCAAGGGGAAGCGATGGCGCAGGCGTTGAACCTCAACAACGAGGTGAGCGGAGGGGGAAGGCGCGCGGCGGGTTGAGGGTGACCCGTGGAGGAAAGGCGCGCGGGGGGAGGGCCGCGAAACGGCGCCCTCGCCCACGGGAGTCGAGGGCGGGAGCTCTGCTGACTGAGGATCAGGGCCCTCCCAATACACGCCGCCTTCTGAGGGAGTCGTTGCAGGGGGTTGGACTGGATGACCCTTGGGGAACCCTTCCAGCTCCGTGAAGCTCGTCCCACCTCTGGGCAGGAGATGTCGAATTACAGATTTAGGCGTGGGACCTTTAACTATCGGCTTCGGCCGAATTTAAATCCCACCGGTCTACTACCCTTAGTAAAATAGAAAACATAAGGTAAAAGACGTCTGGATGGTTACGTTCAGTCACAAGCTATAATAATAATAATAATAATAATAATAATAATAATAATAATTTATTTATACCCCGCCCTCCCCAGCCAAGACCAGGCTCAGGGCGGCTAGCAACCAATAATAAAAACAAGTTGATTAAAATACAATTTAAAAAACAATATTAATATACTATGGGGTTGCAGCGCTCATCTCGCTTTTCAGAGTGATGAGTGTTGCACCCCATAGCCCATGGGTAGGCAAACTAAGGCCCGGGGGCCAGATCCGGCCCAATCGCCTTCTAAATCCGGCCCACAGACGGTCCGGGAATCAGCCTGTTTTTACATGAGTAGAATGTGTGCTTTTATTTAAAATGCATCTCTGGGTTATTTGTGGGGCAGAGGAATTCGTTCATTTCCCCCCAAAAAATATACAGTGGTGCCCCGCAAGACGAATGCCTCGCAAGACGGAAAAACCGCTAGACGAAAGGGTTTTCCGTTTTGAAGTTGCTTCGCAGGACGAATTCCCCTATGGGCTTGCTTCGCAAGACGAAAATACCTTGCGAGCCTTGAGATTTTTTTTTCGCTTTCCCCCCCCTTTATCTAATCTGCTAAGCCTTTAATAGCCTTTAATAGCCTTTTAGCAGCTAATCTGCTAAGCCTTTAAGCCTTTAATAGCCGCTAAACCGCTAATAGCGCTAATAGCGCTAATCCGTCAATGGGCTTGCTTCGCAAGACGAAAAAACCGCTAGACGAAGACTCTCGCGGAACGGATTAATTTCGTCTTGCGAGGCACCACTGTAATCCGGCCCCCCACAAGGTCTGAGGGACAGTGGACCAGCCCCCTGCTGAAAAAGTTTGCTGACCCCTGATAGCCGAATTCAACTGGACTTTACTGTCCAGGGGTCCTTTACCTTTTTTACCTTTACCCTTATGGTATTCATTTTTTTGTTGTTATATTGTAAACTGCCCTGGGATCTAAGGTAAAGGTAAAGGACCCCTGGATGGTTAAGTCCAGTTAAAGGCGACTATGGGGTTGCGGTGCTCATTTCGCTTTCAGGCAGAGGGAGCCGGCGTTTCTCTGCAGGCATCTTTCCGGGTCATGTGGCCACCATGACTAAACCGCTTCTGGCACAACGGAACACCGTGACGGAAACCAGAGCGCACGGAAACACCGTTTACCTTCCCGCTGCAGTGATACCTATTTATCTACTTGCGCTGGTGCGCTTTCAAACTGCTAGGTTGGCAGAATCTGGGACGGAGCAATGGGAGCTCACTGCCGCCAGGATTCGAACCGCTGACCTTCCTGATCAGCAAGCGCAAGAGGCTCAGTGGTTTAGACCGTAGTGCCACCCGCTTCACTACTCTTAGTATCACAAGATTGTCACGAGAGCACTTGGACTAAAATGGTCAACCCAACGCTTTGCGTTTCTGGTTTATCACCGCAACAGTTATTAACACTGGGCTTCGGTAAAGCAAATAATTAAATCAGACAGTGCTTATATGATATTGAGCAACAGAGTAATTTGGCCACCATAAGGATATTTTGTCCGTGGTATGGTTATTTGCCTCCTAGTCATTTTGACCCAATGGCATCCTATCTGCAAAATGTAACTATTCCAAAATACAGGCGTGCTTTTGCAAGATGGACTATACTGCCTTCGGCTGTACTTGAGGGTCAGTTTCAAAAAATCCTGCTGGAAAAACAGTTATGTCTCTGTGGAGATGGCAATATTTAGTCAGTGGCTCATGTGTTTCTGGCTCGCACGCTTTATAAACATTTGAGGAGTGAGGTTATTACCCCTCTATTATTGTCCATGCGGGGTTGCTCAACCATTGCTACTGTGTCCTTTCTTCCAGCAGATCAAGATAATCAGGTGACATCAAAAACTGATTTTTTTTTTTGCAGGGGCAATTAGAATAAGATCTATTATTTGATTATTGTTGTAAACCTCCAGAATGTATTTTGTATAGTTAAGTTTTTACCTCTGTCTTCAGTACATTTTATTTTATTTTATTGCTATGGCTAGTGGCTGATGCAAGTAAAGATGCGTCTTCTTCTTCAGGAGCGCTACCTCGGCTGTTTTGGCTTTGTAGTGCTACTGCAAAACTCCTGAGCTTGCTCAGTGTCCGTTGCCCTGCAGATATCGAGAGCAGTGCCCATTTGTTTCTCCATAGGGTCATAGAGTTGGAAGGGACCTGGAGGGTCATCTAGTCCAACCCCCTGCACAATGCAAGGATCTCTTTTGCCCAGCGTGGGGCATGAACCCACAATCCTAAGAGTCTCATGTTCTGCTGACTGAGCTATCCGACACAACATTTCCCAGGTGCCTTTTCTTCCTCTTCGAACAGCTGCAGCCCCATGCCTCTGCATGTTTACCCTCAGAAGTAGACCCTGCTAAGTGCACCAGTTAAGGGTGAAGTGAGTTGCAGTATTGACTTTCCCTCTCACTATAGGGCCACTGTGTTAGGTCACATCCACAACATACATTTAAAGCACTGTTCTAACGGTCATGGCTACCTGCAAAGAAGCCCAGGAACTGTAGTTTCTTAAGGGTGCTGACCTCACAGTCCTACTACTGCCAGCACCTTTAATAAACTATAGGGTTCTCCATGGCTGTTAAACTGGTATAAGAGCACTTTAAGTCTGCGGTGTGGGTATGGTCTTAGTCTTTTACAGCAAAAACAACTGAGTGTCTTGTCACACCTGAAAAAAACAATCAAATTTATTATAGCATCCTTTTTTTGCAACTTTTCAAAATGCATGTTTATATTGATTAAATGACCTGTGGTCCACAAAAGTTTACTTCTTAATAATCCTTATGTTGACCCAACATTTGGTTGAAACATTAACTTTGCCTTTCCTTCATTTCTGTGACTTTCTTTTCTCCTCCTTCCTTTCTTTCACGCACACCTGTCTTCATTACTTCGTTTTGTATTTCACATTCTCTCTTTCCCTGTTTCATAGTGTTCCTGTGCATTTTTTTGTGCAGAAGTAAAAGAGCAATCCAGCTCCCTTCCCTGCCAGTGGTGGCCTTACTGGGGGTAGCCAGCACAAGCCCTCAAAACAGGGAATTGCGGGAGTAGAGAAGGTGTGGAACTGGGCCTGATAAGGATTTGCTGGTTCAGCTACTGGTTGAGTCTCTATGCTGCACCAGCATGGATTGAGTGCAGTGAAAACTGGAAGCTTGTGGCCATAAGTGGCAGGGCTGCAGACACGTTGTTCTGCACTGTTGCTTCTGCTTGGAAGTTAGACTTGCTCCCTAAGGCTTACAAAATACTTAAGGACACCGATTGTGAAGGAGAAAGTTGGATTTCCTCATACATGTGCATCTCTTTTGTGATTCCATGGAACAGCATCATGTCCTTGACACCTGAAGAAGTAGGTCAATTTCTAAGACTGTAAATGATGAACTGCTCTGTCCTCTGGTGTCCCACTGTAGATCCAGTTAGATGCCTTGACATTCAATTCTTATGATTCTCTTATTTGACAACTTCCAGTGGGATCACTTTGTCAGTCTGTTACACCAAAAAACAAAGCAGGCGAAGTAAACTCTAGTTCATGAAAGCTTATTCCATAATAATTTTCTTAGGCTTTAAGGTATCACAGGATGCCTTCTTCTCTTTCATTGGGTGTTTGATATATTGGATACTTGCACCAAGTTTACTCTTGCTATCTTTTATGCTTTTTAATGCTAGTTTTAATTGTTTGATAGTTGTCATGCTTTATTCTGATTTTAGTTGGGCTTTGTGTTTTTGTTTTTTGCTGTTTTTATTGTGAATTGTATTTTCTATTTTAGATTTAGATCTGACACACTTGCAAGTGTTAAAAAATACAAGAAGTGGTAGAAAATGTTTGAGGTTACAAAAGGGATAATATGCTCCAGCAATACATTTAATTTTGCGGTTGTTTTAATATCAGACTTCGAATTTAACACTGGTTTATACTATCTATCTATCTATCTATCTATATATATATTAATACACACTATACTTAATCTGCTTCTCCCTGCTGTCCAGCTTGATCATGCAGCACCACAGCTGCAGTTTGTTGTAAGTTCCCTTCTTTTCATATCCATGCAAAGCACTTTAGCATCAGAGATAGCTGTTATTGGGTAAGAACTGCATAAGTGTCTATTGCTGACTAGGAATCGGGAGTAGGGACAAATACTATTTTATTCAATTTCTAAACTGCCCTTTGTAATCAGTTACGATCCCAGGGCTGTTTACAAAACCAGTGTCAAATTATTTAAAAAATGACGTTCAACCAACAGTTATATTTTTAATCAGAACAGCAGACATCGCTCATAATCACTTCTCAAATTAGCTTCCCCAAAAGATCAGGGTGAAGAGGTAAGTCACCAGCTGGGTGCCAATAATGATGTCACCAGTCATACCCCCAAATAAGTTTCATAGACAAGATGCCAACACAGAGAAGGCCTTATCGCATGTCATTGTCACATGATCCTATCTTAATGCACAGGCAGGATAATAGGAATATATAGCCACAAGTGAAGAAGCCATTGTGCTGTATGTGTGTGAATATTATTGATCTCATTCAAGTCTCTGAACTGTTGGGAAAAGAAAAATAATCTCTTCATACATTGGTATGAAGCAGGCTTTATTTAAGGTTAGTGTTGGAGCAGGGAATGATCCCGATTTGCAATTATACTTGCGATCTGGAAACAGCCTTTTCCCGGAGACCTAAACAATCAGCGATGCATCGTTAATTTGTATAATAGAATTTTGTTTCTTCCCGTCATGACTTTTTGGCAGAGAATAATCTAAAAGAAAAAATTAAGATGAAATGGTAACATATTTAAAAACATACTCGTAAAATAGCTTTATGTGCAAATTATACTTGAAAATGTTGCTAGGTGGCAGCACAAAATAAGTAATAAGCTCCTCTTAACCCCCACCCCTGCCCTGCTTGTACAAATTCTCTTGCAAATGTGCTTAATTTACAAACTGATTAATTTCAAGCCTTAAATATATGTACTGTTCCAAACAGAATTGTGAGATGTATTCTTTTAGGACAGAATCCCCCGGCCCTAAATTTACGTATACATTTTTAATGGCACTTGGGCATTTGGGGTGAAACTTCAGGACTTCATTCTACTTTCCTATAGATGGAGCATAGCAAAGCCCTCTCACCTATTTTGCAAGGAATTTGCTGTAGTGGAATAAATACTACTGCTTTGTTTCTCCCATTGCATCTATTATATTTAATATACGGTAACACCTGAAAGACCTACATTGGCTCCCAGTATGTTTTCAAGCACAATTCAAAGTGTTGGTGCTGACCTTTAAAGCCTAAATGGCCTCGGCCCAGTATACCTGAAGGAGCGTCTCCACCCCCATCGTTCAGCCTGGGCACTGAGGTCCAGCGCCGAGGGCCTTCTGGCGGTTCCCTCACTGAGAAAAGTGAGGTTACAGGAAACCAGGCAGGGGGTCTTCTCGGTAGTGGTGCCCGCCCTGTGGAACGCCCTCCCATCAGACGTCAAGCAAATAAACAACTATCTGACTTTTAGAAGACATCTGAAGGCAGCCTTGTTTAGGGAGGCTTTTAATGCAGGGCTAGGCAACCTAAGGCCCAGGGGCTGGATGCGGCCCATTTGCCTTCTCAGTCTGGCCCGCAGACAGTCTGGGAATCAGCATGTTTTTACATGAGTAGAATGTGTGCTTTTATTTAAATGGGTTATTAGTGGGGCATAGGAATTCATTCATTATTTTTTTTCAAAATATAGTCTGGCCCACCACATGGTCTGAGGGATGGTGGATCGGCCCACGGCTGAAAAAGGTTGCTGACCCCTGTTTTAATGTTTGATATTGTCGCTTTTTTATTATTATTATTCTGTTGGGAACTGCCCAGATGGGCGGGGTATAAGTAAATTATTATTATTATTATTATTATTATTATTTTAGTGAATCAAGTGGAATTGTAAGCTAGGTAAATCAAAACAATTTGTGTATATTGTTCAGTGGGGCTTACACTGTTGGAAATATATTTAGGACAGTATCCATTGGTCTAGTTTACATGTGCATAAGCAGGAAGGTTCACATGTCACACAAAATTATAGCTTTGTGAGGCATGCATTAGCAGGAACAAAGTATTGATAACTTAAAATTTGTGTCCTCTCGTCTCCTCTTCCTTCCCTGCAGCTGCAACAAGTTCTACAGCAGTTTCCCCCCCTGCTTTCCCTGAATCCTGGATTGTCATGTTATCCAGACCAAGGATCATACTTTATAACAAACTTGGGTAGGTTTTAAATCAAGCCAATGTCCAACTGTGGTTTCTGAAGCTCACTTGTTTAACTTAGAGTTTGATAGAAAACACGATCCTTGGTCTGGACAACACATGAAGTTGATTTGGTAATGGAAAGCAAAACTTAAAAGCTACCCAACTTGTCCGCCCAGCTGCAGGGAGGAGAAGTGGGAACGATGGTGGTTTCTTCCTGCTCATGCACATCTCAGAATACCATTTCTAGGCTATAGAAATCAAATCTTGAAAGTAGGTTTAGAACTGAAAGGTCATTTCCTAGCCCTTATGGGTTGTAGCTTGCAAAAGAGGTCTGGAACTACGATGGCCAAAATACTCACAGATCTGAAGTATAGAATGAAAGAGTAACAGAAACCCGGATTTCACGAAACTTTGAAGTGCTATAAAATTAAAACCGTTTGAGATAGAGGGGAAATATTTAAGGGGGTTTCTTTCAACCATAAGGGAAGGGTGTACACCAAGTTTCATCAAAACCCAAGACGGTGGGTGGCATGACCGCGTTGAATAGACGTGGACCGACCTGGAGAGTAGCTGGCCACAAACTTCACACACACACTTCCCTCTGCCCAGAAATAGGCTGATTTTTTTCCTTTAATTTCTAAGGATAAGAATGATGAGCTAAATTTAGACTACAGTGGTACCTCGGGTTAAGTACTTAATTCGTTCCAGAGGGCTGTTCTTAACCTGAAACTGTTCTTAACCTGAAGCACCACTTTAGCTAATGGGGCCGCCGCGCTGCCGGAGCACGATTTCTGTTGTCATCCTGAAGCAAAGTTCTTAACCCGAGGTACTATTTCTGGGTTAGTGGAGTCTGTAACCTGAAGCATATGTAACCCAAGGTACCACTGTATTATAGTAAGTTGGTAATTCTACACATCTACCAAGTATCTGCTTCATAGAACTTTGTCAGTGTTTGCTAGAAGGCATTGGCAGACTGTATTGAATTCAATTTAGTCTTTTTGTCCAAAGGCATGAATGTGTAGATTGTTAAGAAGCAAACCATTCTTAGGTTGCCCTAAGCCTTTCTTCATCCTTTGAGGATACGTGTAACAAGTTTGTCTCTTGTTTAAAATAGTTTAATATTCTCTAGCAAGTTCTTTAGTAAGAATTTCCTGTGATGGATTGAGTTCTGCTGAAAAAAAATCTCTTGACATTCTTTCGGACCATGTCAGTGTTCTCAGCAACCATTCCGATAAAGCTTATGAAATTTCCAAGCTCAGCCTCTGAGATAGAATTTAGAAGAACATTTTCCCCCTAGGATCTCTTCCAGCAGCTATTATTCAAGTTTTGAGTTGCCACATCATCAGTTGCAGAACATTAAAGGCATACTGTGACCAGCAGATTCAAGCACATTTGCTTGCAGCAGATTATGAAGAAATTAAAAATGCAAAAGCAGCCTGCATACTTGTTGCAAACTGAGCAGTATTAAATGAATATAGATGAAAATGAGATTTTGCCTCCCCCTTCTGCTCAGAGTGGTTTGTGTGAAGTGCATTTGGTTGGGCCACGTAGGCTAGTTAGAGGTTGCCAGAAATAAAACATGTGGCTGCTTACTTGAGCTGGTGCGTAATAAAAAAATTGCAAGCTCAGTCATGGGAGCTTGCTGTAGACTATATTTAAAGGAGCTGTAGCATAGCTGTGATGAAAACACTGACTGGTTAACTGGTAAAGCTACAGGTGTCTAAAAGAGATATTAATTGTACCAGGTGACTTTTAATCAGAACTGATCATATTAGTTATTGCACATGACATCCCTTCATTTTCAGTCATTGAACTGTTGAACACATCATTCATTTTTCTTTGTAATTGGGATGAGGCTGTTTTTGTGTGTCTAAACTCTGAATGTCATTCCTAAACCTGAACAATCACATTGTGTATAACTGAAACTCTGATGTGTACAATTCAATTTAATTTGGTGTTTTTCCAGCATACGAAGGGAAGATGCAAGGTTCCCCCCCAGTCCACTTCTCAGTCTCTCTTCTGATTCAGTGACCCCTACTGCATGCAACACATCACAAAAGAGACCCTCCTGAACCTCCTTTGTAGAAATATGGCAACTTTTGCCTGCCTTCTCCTCACCAGGCTCTGCAGTTCATTTCATTTGTTTTTGCATGGTTCCCTGCTCCAGTTCTGCTGGCGAAGGTTTTGCAGTATATGGTGGTTAGAATTCTTTTTGTTTAACTTTCTGATCCTGTCAAAAACAAGAGAGACACAAACCACAGCTTACACTCTCTTGGTGTAAACACTAATTTGAACCACTGAGCTTATTTTTCTTAGGAGCTGTGACCCTGAGCTACAAGGATCTCTTCTTTCGGCTTAAATGGAGCTACATGCTCAGTAGGTGATCCTCAGTTGTGTCCTGCTTGGCTGTGCTTTTCTTTAATCCACAGCAAATATTGACCATAGTGCCAACCATGACACTCTGCACATGTCTAGCGACCCCCTTGCCACTTACTGTTCCCAGGCTCCACAAGTAAATTGGGGCATTAAACGGGACATTCTGCCCCCCATTATACTTCCCCAGCTCTGTATCCATCTCTCCATTTTTCCCTCCACAACTCACCATAAACTAACAAGGAAAAGGAATAAATTAGTTTGGAATTCTCTGCCATACATTTGTCTGATTGTCCTTTGCTTTAGAAACACTTGCCTGTTTGGTTTAGGTTGCCCTGGGGAAGATAAAACAACTAAAATTCTAATTATCATGATGATGATGATGATGATGATGATGATGATGACAACTTGACCTCATTCATTACTCTCTCAGCGCCACACTCTACCCATGTACAGTGTGGGGATAATCATGCCAGCATGCATATCTTTTTATGTTTGGAGCATTTGAAATGTGCCATTTAAATGCCTTCTTTACATGAAGCTAGTTTAACCAGGCCTTCGGCTGATTAATATTCTGCAGCCTTTTGTGTTTGCAGGTGGGTGGTTACTATTTTGTTGCTTCCATTTTGACTATTTATTTGTGCCTTAAAGGGCAGTATATAAATCAAACAAACAAATACATGTGGGAATGTTGTAATAATGTGTGATTTATCATTTGTAAAGAATGTGAAGTGTGACGTTGGTTCTTGGTATCTTTCTTCAATGTTTCTTCCACATTAACAGGGATTTTGTCAGTCTTCAAGATATTTTTGAACAAGTTGGCAAACAGTGCTATTGATAGTACCAGCTAGGTTCACAAGTACAGTGGTACCTTGGGTTACATACGCTTCAGGTTACATACGCTTCAGGTTACAGACTCCGCTAACCCAGAAATAGTACCTCGGGTTAAGAACTTCGCTTCAGGATAAGAACAGAAATCGGGCTGATGGACTACATGGAACTGGTGGAAATGACTGGCAAAATCCGAGACCCGGGAGAAGAGTTGGTGGAAGAAGACTGGAAGAAATTTAAAGTTTATTTACAGAAACATTGTAATTAAGGAATGTTAGAAGGATGTTGGAATGAAATAATGCGGTTTTAGCAGAAATGCTATAAAGGATTAAGAAAAAATAGATTGCTAAATGGTGAAGGAGGGAAAGTAAAGTTACATTATATTAAGATAAAATAGAGGACAAAAACTGGAAAAGATGGCAAGGATTTGCTGAAATAGCTAATTGAACTAGAATACAAAAAAGGGAGGTGTGAGCAGGTCAAGGAAATAAGCAAATAAAAGATAAGTTATGGGAAGATTCATTGTATTTTTTATTTTTTTTATTTTCTTTTCTTTTTTCTTTTTTATTATTGTGATGTGATGTTTTGTATTTCTTTAATATGCTGTTTTTTAATTTTTTCTTTTTGTAACCCTTTAAAATTCCATAAATATTATTTTTTTTAAAAAAAGAAATCGGGCTCCGGCGGCGCGGCGGCAGCAGGAGGCCCCATTAGCTAAAGTGGTGCTTCAGGTTAAGAACTGTTTCAGGTTAAGTATGGACTTCCGGAATGAATTAAGTACTTAACCTGAGGTACCACTGTAAAAACTTTTGATTTTTGTGACTTGGCAAATAAGATTTAACATCCAGGTCACTCCATTCCCATTTTATATTTCCTGTCATTTTAGGAGTGTCAGCTGTTACAAGTTTTGGTTATGAGACCATGTATTTGGCATAAGAAAAAAAATTATTTCTTACAGCAACTCCATGATATATGGTAGAATATAGGTGGCCAGTATTAAGTATGCAAGGAATGCCAATTGTCAGAAATGGTTGGGAGGCATAATGTTATACACTACCCTAGAATGAAGTATAACTGCAGCTGTGAACACAAGTATGCCACGCTGCACGAGTCATTATCGAACTTATGGATAATGAATATTTCCTTCCCAGTCTTGGTTTCTTTTTGACATTTAAAGAGAATACAGAGTGGAGAACCAGTGGATGTGGAGAGGAGGTGCTTGAAACCTTTCTGATCATTACAGTATTTATTGATTCAGATGGGGGAAAGCTACACAGAGGAAAGGGTTGCAGGGGATGAGCTGTGGTGGGAACAGGTGTAATTCTACTTTGTATATCAGAGCTAAGCACCAAACTGGAAATCCTTTGTTGGGCACTGATATTTAGTTACAATCTTAGTTCTTTTTTTTCTTTTTCTTATTTTTTTAAAGAAAGCAACCACAGCAGGTAATGGATTAGTATCCATACCAAATTAGTTGCACTTAAATTCCCTTTGTAGTCATTGGGACAAATTGCTCATTACTTAAGTCAAATTGATTTCAGTTCATTAACTTTTTGCTCTACAGTTTTCTAGTGCATTTCTTTTTGTCTGTAGCTTTCTCTCACTGTGATGATTATGCTAATTTGTAAGTGATTATACTGACTTCCATATTATAATCCAAATAAGTTTAGCTAAGTGAAGCAATTTAGTCTATATTTGGTCTTTGTATTCCATCCAAATTGGATTGGTGGCTTATCATATTTGAATTAAGGCAAGCCATGAGAATAAAGCAAAGAAGAATCCAACAAGTTTGAAAGGGAACTTATAGGTTACTGCCAATTTAAGAGAATTGTGGCCATAGCATGTGTGTTCTATATAAAGCTTGCTACAGCTGTTTTCATGTCAGTTAAGGAGGCCTGAAAAAGGGGCTAGAATATAAAATTCAGAAAACATTCTCTTAGAACTGACCATTCATAAATCTTCATTTTATTTATTTGTGGGGGTTTTTTTGCAAAATGATTTAATCTGCTAAAATATATCTACTACTCATTTAAGTGTAGGTATTCCTTTGTATATAATTTTAAGTTTGCAATGCCTACAATTGTGGCAGCAGTTTGGGGGGGCACTGCTGCCAAGTTTATCTGTCTACATTTCTTCACTCAATGCTCTTTTCATGCAGGAATGTTGAACAGTAGAAGAAATATTGTTTTACAAAAATTCCACAAAATAGACAGGCATTTTGTAAGGAAATACTCCTCACCTCCTTCTTAGTTTTTAAAGCATTTTTTTCCGATTGAAGGAGGGAAATCTGCTTGTAATTGAAATCACACACCCGCATCCATCTCGTACCCTAATTTATGTCACAAGTCACTGGTTATTAGTCTCTGTTTTCTAATGGTTCCACAGACCAACTTGAAAAGCAGGTGCAAAATTTGATGCTTGCTTGAGTAGCAGTTGCTCTTGGGGCAAGCAGGTGAGTGGCTGCATCTGTCTTTCATCACCACCACCACCTTCCAACATGACAGCATGTTGCTGTCAAAAGATGTGTCTGGCATCATCAAAACTCTCCCTAGGGGCCAGTGAAGCCGAGGATGCTGGCAAGACAAAGCTGTTTTAAGACTGAAGATTGCTATCAGTCCCAAGGCAAAGTGTCTGCCAGTTGCAATTTGCAAGATGCTTAAGGAAGAGTGCATAATACTGGGTACAGTGCTCTTAACAACATTGCCCAGGTAAGGATGTCCAGGGGGAAGAGGAAGGGAGTGAGGCTTAGCCTGGGGGAACAGCGCAGGGCAACTTGAGTGAGAGATAAGTTTTACTTTACCTGATGCCAGATCACTTATTTATTTCACCAGTTTATCTTGCTCTACAGCCAAAAAACAAAAAAAAACCCCAGCCCACCCCATTGTTGTTTAGTCGTTTCGTTTCGTGACCCCATGGACCAGAGCATGCCAGGCACTCCTGTCTTCTGCTGCCTCCCTCAAACTCATGCTGGTAGCTTCGAGAACACTGCCCAACCATCTCGTCCTCTGTCATCCCCTTCTCCCATTCCTATAGTGGTTTACAAATTGTCATTGAGAAGCTAGTCCCAACCCTCAGGCTCACAACATAGGAGACGCAACATGAAAGGAGAATGGACAGGAGGGGAGTAGGAAAAATGGGCTCAGGCACTAATTCTTAGTTACAGAGATCTTGTGGTGAATTGCAGGAATGGAAAAATTCACAGAGGAAGACAAAATTTGCCAGTCTTACGAGAAGCCACTCTCACATCCTGATGCAAAGGCTGTTAAGGGGCGAATTTACACTGTGATTGCTGATGGTAGCCACTGCCATGTGCAAAATTAAGCTTTGTGCATGACGTTGAAGACACTTGAAAAAGTGACCTTGGCCAACAACATTCAGCAGTTGGATGGTCACTGAGTGCTGATGTCTTGTGGGCTCAGTGGTCATATGCCTTGAAACGAACAGAATTGAGGTGCGATAGGAATGGTGTCCCACTGAATGGCTTCCAAGTTAACATTGTTAGAATCATAGTCAAACCTGCATTTTAAGTTGTTTTATAGATGTATATTCTAAGATGTCTATATCTAAGTGATTTAATAGTGTCCTTTGGCTTTTACTATAAATTCAGTGTCAGTTTTTCTTGACTCTTTTTTACTACTTGGGTGTTCAAGAACAGAATGTAGCTCTCATCCTAACACAGGTTGGTGTTAATGTTTTCATACTTTGACCAACCCACGGTGATACGCTTTAAGCTATAGATTTGTACTGTTCATGAGAGCTCTTTCCCCTTTTGGTCAGACTTTCCTATGAATGTTCTTAAATTCTTGGCTGTGGGTTCGCTTAGGTTGGACCCCTTCTCTCTCTTCAGATTTAAAGCAAGCCCCCAAAGTAGCCAAGCATAACATTTTATTCTAATGCAATACATCTTTCCAATATTTGCCACCCCTTACAAGGTCTTTACAATGTATAATCTTTGGCTGTGATCCAGCGAGTCCTTTTAATACACCCTCTTAGCATTCCATCACCCTCCGCAATCTCTAAAGCATGCCTTAAACTTCTCTGCAGTTTGTTAGTTGACTAGGCTCTGCTAGATTTTTTTCTTTCTTAAACTCGCTGCACCACAGTTGTCATGAGTGGAATAATCAGATGCTTGGGATTCCATTGGGTGTAGGAAAGGAAGCAAGGAAGTGTATTTGATTAACATTCTCAAGTAAGTTGAATCTGTAAGCCTTCTCAAAGTCGGGTTTATTTTGGCTGCATGGGAAAACATGATTACAGTTGAGTAATTACGTGAGAGTCAAATGAAGTGATATTTGAAAATGACGCAAGAATGACCTACACTTGTGAATTTGCTAGAGGAGGCATGGTGGACACATGGATCGCAGAAGTGCTGCCATTCCAATTTCCAAGTTTAGAACATGAATCCCCATTTCCTTTTTCTTCATTCTCATCTGGCTCTAATCCAGTTCAAACCTTACCTTGCATGATGCTGCCCTTCCTCTTCCCTCCCCCTGTGATTCTCTGAAATTGCTATGTTAACCATCTTTAAGTATCTTCAGTTCCAAGCACGGATTTCCCAACCATCTGCTACATATTTCCCCATACCCAGGTCAATATCTTGCATTGTTAAGAAAATAACATTTACATTAGAAATATTAATGTTTACATTTCAAAGCACTGCGGTCTGCGCAGACATCCCAAGCCAATGTGTTCCCACCATGTGCACAGTTGATATCTATTTGCTTTTGCACTTTACCAGCCCCCTTGGATGAATGGGTCCTGGCTTTTGCCCCAAACCACACAACAAAGGAAATTGCATGTAAGTGAAGAAGTAAACACTTGTTATATCAGCCTAGTGATACAGACTCAGTAGCTAGGAAAGCGCTCTTACAAAGGCAGAAGAGCAGCAACGAAAAATTCAGTCCGACAGCAAAGGCCAAGGTTACTGGCAAGAGCTCCAAGACTTCAGGGGAGCTGCTATGTTGTTTCAGTAAATTTCCCCGCCTCTCTGCCAAGCTTTTAAGCAGGGAGAAGAGGCAGATGAGTAATGGAGTCCATAGACAATTACCGTATTTTTCCGTGTATTGGACGAGGTTTTTTGACTCAAAAATTACGTCAAAAAACTGGGGTCGTCCAATACACGGATAGTGGCATAGGGGGAGAAGCGGTGCGCCGCCAGCCAGCTCATTGGTGAGAGCGCAAATTCCCCCGATGCCACTGCGCATGGCGGGCGCTCCCTGGATCGTTTCCCGCACAGCGGCATCAGAGGAGGTTGTGCTCCCAGGAGCACAACTTGCCCCGATGCCGCTGCATGCGGGAAACGATCTAAGGAGTGTTTCTTGCCCGCAGCTCAACAACTTTGGATCACCTCCCCTCATTTTACTAAAATTGAGTCCCCCAAAATGGGGGGGGTGTCCTTATACAAGGTGATGTCCTATAGACAGAAAAATACGGTATTTCCAGGACTCTGAGGGCAATGGTAGGATCTGCAGAAGCTGGTTGGTTTGCCAGACACATTCTAGTCCCTTCACATTTTCTGTCAGGCCACCAGACACCCAAGTCATTGCATGTAAGGTTATGTATTGCACAAAAAGGCCAGCTGTTCAGCTGCCACAGCATCGCTGACGTGCCTGAGCTCATAATGATTCAGGAGGCACATACATGCGCAGTTAACAGTAGGTAAGCCCTCTCGCATGGAAAAGGCAGTCTTTGGCTCCTTTCCCTTCTGCTATTTCCTGCAGTTTGGTGAGCACAAATAGGTCTTGCAGTTACAAAATGATACAATTGTATTCATACAATTTTCACTGTATTCATGCTGTTAACCCAGAAGTGGCTTCAGCTAACACCCCACCAAAGCCAGTGAAATGCTCTTTGAGCCAGTCTTTGGCATCTAAATGCAATGTCAGATCTAATAGCTCTGTCAGGCTGTGGGAAATCCCAGAAATTTAGTAAATTGCACTTCCAGAGAACTCTGCCTCCATCTTGTCTGGATTGGGCATCACTTTATTACCTTTACTCTCTCTCGTTGCTGATCCAAACACGTGTTTAGAAGATGAGTAAAAAGGAAAAAGTAGATATTGGAAGCATATTGGTTGAAATAAGCTTGCTGGAGACATTGGACAGCAGCTGATTTTTCCACATTATACTGATTTGGACTAATGTGCCAAATCAGTATAAGATAACATGTCCATATGTTCTTACGCCACAGGGTGTGTCCTCTTTCTTGCATTCATGGCCAGCAGTTAGTTGACCTTTGGTTAAATGGGTTCCTAAAAATATACTATGTCTCCACACATAGTCCTGGAAAGAATAAATTAAATATTGGATAGGAAGTTAAAAATATATGTTTGAGTACGTAATGATCTGCTGTGATTCTCTAAATTGTGGGCCTTGCTTGTGCCTGGTTGTTGTTGTTTTTTATTATAGCTTGTGAACTTTTCATCTATATCAGCTAACGTATCCATGGAAGTAGGTGGGTTTGCCGTCAGTTTGCCAGATCTGTGACAGGCAAGAATTAAACTTGTGCAGCTATTACTGCTAGAGACAATGTATTAACAGCTGCAGACATGTCAAAATTCAAGGCACAGTCCCTTGTTGGGGAGCAATGTTGTAGTGACAAGTCAGATGTACAAGTCTGAGCACCTGATTCCTTAGGAGAACATTGGAAATCTGGTGGGAACAGGTTGGATGGGCAGGTACAGGATAGAAGATGGGCCTTGTTTGGCCCTCAAGTTTTGGTAGAGAAACATTTATATAGGGTGGCCAAAAACAACTGGTGGGAACCCCACGTTTAGTTTGAGTACTTGTTATTTATAAACTCCATTTTCATATCCGTACTTAAAAGAGTGGCCTAGTGAGTTCCGATTAAAATGTTTTTATTTTTTACATCATAGTTTATTTTAAGTTGTGTGTGTTGAGCCTTTTTCCTTATAAACACTATCAGGGATAATATTTATGGACAATCATTTGCTATTACAGGCATCATTTATTTAAATTTTGACTCTGCAGAAGTGTTTTTGCAAGCCAGTGCTTCCTGTTTGCACGGTAGTAAGATGGAACCGTAGCATGACATGGTCACTCTGGCCAAATTTCTAATTCCTGACCCAATTGGTTTCAAATATGCAAACACGTCTACCTTGCAATAAACTGTTTTTAAAGGGTTTTAGTTTTAGTATCATTTTACATCAATATTTGTTCCACATGGGGTGCATTTTCCCAGAGGGAGGCTGCCTTTTTGGAGACTGTCACAAGGAAAAGTAAAACAAGCCTTGCAAATTCTCTTGACTCCTTTTCCCCCCAACCTTAAATAAGAGGTCAGGCTGATGGTTTGAAATTGGCTGCTACACTTATACTTCCCACTACTAAACAAATAGGAAGTGTCTACAGAGTCGGAATTTGAATAATAAACTACCTCTCCCATAGCAAGTAACATTAATAAATATTTTCTCAGGTCTTAGGGGAGGAAATAGTGACATTTTACTTATTTGTTTTTTATTAAATTTCTAGCCTGCGCTTCCAAGGACCGCAAGCAATACGATTTACAATTTAAGGCAATGCAATTTAAAATAAAAAACATTTAGAACATCTAAAAACATTTTAGAGCAATCACGTATCTTCATAGTTGCTAATTTCAAGGTTGCCATGGTCAGTAGTATCCCATCCAACACCTGGCTAGAAATAGATGTTTTTTATTTTCTCCTGAAAGTCAGCAATGAAGGAGGCAGAAGCAGCTCACCAGGGAGGGCATTCCACAAATGGAAGCAATCCCTAACCCAGTCCCTGGTCAATGCCAACTGGGCAGCAGCTACAGGTAGCCCTACCAACTGGGCCTCCTATACCCGGAGGTCTCAGGGCGGTTCACAGAAAAAATCAGAATATAAAACCACAAAATATATAATAAAAATAAATACAACAACCCAGTAACCCCCCAACACACACAAAACCACATTTTAAAAGGGCATAAGATGTCATTCAAAGTAAGCCAAGGCCCAGTTAAAAAGGAACCTTTTTGCCTGGCACCTAAAGGTGTATAATGAAGGCGCCAGGTGAACCTCCCTGGGGAGAGCATTTCACAGACGGGGAGCCACTGCAGAGAAGGCCTGTTCTCGTGTTGCCACGCTCTGGACCTCTTGCTTGCATTTATAGCTGATTGTCAGTCTGGGAAACTTTGCTGTACTACTAGCTCTCCACCCCTCACATCATTGTAGCGTAAATCCCTCTCTTCTGTCCTTGTTAGCAAATGACCCAATAACTCTACAGTGGTACCTTGGGTTACAGACACTTCAGGTTACAGACTCCACTAACCCAGAAATGGTACCTTGGGTTAAGAACTTTGCTTCAAGATGAGAAAATTGTGCTGCAGCGGCACGGTGGCAGCAGGAGGCCCCATTAGCTAAAGTGGTCCTTCAGGTTAAGAACAGTTTCAGGTTAAGAACGGACCTCCAGAACGAATTAAGTTCTTAACCCGAGGTAGGAAAGGTAAAGGGACCATTACATCCAGTCGTGGCCAACTATGGGGTTGCGGCGCTCATCTCACTTTATTGGTCGAGGGAGCTTCCATGTCATGTGGCCAGCATGATTAAGCTGCTTCTGGCGAACCAGAGCAGCGCACTGAAACGCCGTTTACCTTCCCACCGGAGCAGTACCTGTTTATCTACTTGCACATTGATGTGCTTTCGAACTGCTAGGTTGGCAGGAACAGGGACCAAGCAACGGGAGCTCACCCCGGCGCGGGGATTCAAACCGCCGACCTTCTGATCGGCAAGTCCTAGGCTCCGTGGAGCCCTGTATTAAAAAACCCACAGAGCCCTGTATTAAAAAAAGAAGGTGTCATTTTCAAAGTGGCATTTTTACTTCATTGGATATTTCATTGTGGTCATATGATAAATAGGAAGTCGGTTGACATATTTGACTATCAGTTAACTGATGTACCAGTTTTCTGAAAGCTGCTTGCTTCTGCCCACAGAGGCCTTCCCTATCTTCCCGGGGAAAGGGAGAGAGGGGGTCAAATGGGCTCCTTGTTCTGCTTCTTCCTGCAGAATTCGCACCAGCAGCTCTCCAGGCAAGTAAATAGAAATACGGAGTAAGCTGAAAGGGCTACTTTAAAATGTGTTTCAGGTTCCTTTCTAGTGTTGAGTCTGTGAGGTAGGCTTCAAAAAACACCATCATATCCAAATCAGCTTTGATCATGGTGGAATTAAATTAGATACACCATTCGCACATTGCCACATAGCAGCTTTTCACTGAGTTGGATCCAAACTTACATTTTTGTGAATGGAAGAGCTTCCATCTGTGCACTTTTGATCCAGCAGAGGTCTCCTATTAATGGAAGGGGAGGGAGAGGCAGTATTTACCAATCCTCCCTACCTCAAGGGTGTGAGGCACTATAGGAGAAATTGGCATGTCACCTCCGTTCATCCATCAGTGAGGACAAAGTCTAGATCTGGTGGTGTTCTCTGGTTAGAATTTAGTGTTCTTATACAGTTGTACCTTGAAAGCCAAACACAATCCGTTCCAGAAGTCCATTTGACTTCCAAAACATTCAGTAACCAAGGCTCAGCTTCTGATTGGCTGCAGGAGCTTCCTGCAGCCAATCGGAAACTGCGCCGGATGTTCGGCTTCCAAAAAAGTTCAAAAACCGGAACACTCACTTTCGGCTTTCGATTGTTCGGGAGCCGAAATGTTAAGCAACTAAGCCATTCGAGATCCAAGGTACGACTACCACATTTCAGGTTCTCAAAGCGATTGACATGACCTCAACTATGGCACCATTGTAAGAGAGGCTAGTGTTGCTATTTTTGGTTATTAAACATACTTTAAATAACTTGGGTAGGCTAGCATTCTATTTTTAACTTTGGGGTGTGGTGATTTCTGTCTTATTTATATGGGTTGCTTTTTTTAAGGCGTTAACCCTGTCTTTGTGCTTCATTTTGGTTTTTTTACCTATTTATTGCATGCTGACCTCATGTTGTAGGACATCATGGAAGTGCTGTAGGAATTTATAGGGTTGCCTAGAAATGTTTGATCTAAGATAAAATTTGGGTCTTCTTGACTGTCAATGCCCATTTAGCCCATTCACTGCACCAGAAAACAGTCTATTTCTCTGTGAAATGGAATTTGAAAGAGTGTTTTACCGAAGAATGAGTCAGGTTTGCATTAACATCATCTTAAATTAAAACATTCATGTGGTTAACTGAAGGAAGTCTTGTTCTGTAGAAGGCTTAGAAGAAAGTACAGGTGTTTTGTGGTAGTGTGAGTACATAAATGAACATGTAACACAAATAAGCTGTCTTCACCTATAGCCAAGCCTAGGTCTAAGAAAATTAAACATGACTGCATAGGAATGTCCTGGCTATTTCATGGCTTGTTTCTTTTCAGAACTCAGACATGTTTTGAGACTTGGTTTGTTCCTCAACTGGCTGGCTGTTTTTGGAAGCAGTTTTGACTTTTAACAGAAAAACTGAATTCAGTCTTTTGTTAAGCAAGGGAGCTAACTATGCTCAAAGCTGTTTGTAAACTTTTGAGTGTTTATTCAAAATATGCTATTGATGGTTGTTGTTTTTTACAACGCATTTTCTTTCCCCCCCCCAAAAAAAAAACAGGTTGTGAAGATGAGAAAAGAAGTGAGGAAGGTCAGAGTGCTGACAATTCGCAAACTAACTAGACATATTGCAAAACTGAAGGCAAAAAAGTAAGCTTAACAATTATTCTTTTTATGGTTTTCTGCAGTCCCAGGGCAACTGGTAGTAGGAGCTAAGGGCTCTTTCTAGCAGGAAAGTGGGAAGCAAGCCTCCTGCCCCTGCCCCTCTCTGGCCAAAAAATATCCCTCTTGCCATGATGACGTATTTCTTCCTGCAGCCTCCCCAGTAGTCCCAAGTCTTCACATTCTTTCATTTTCTATAATGTGTTTTGGAGTTTCCAGGTCACTTTGGTAGCTAAGCCAATGCACTGTCCAAGCCTGGAATCAAGGTTAAGGAATCTCCTCCTTAACGAGGGGCATAGTGTGGGGAGGGCCAGGGCGGCGGTGGCCCTGGGCACAGATTTTTGAAGGGGCACAACGAGGGGGCGCAGCCAGGGGTCCTCATCAAGTTCGGAGCAGTGAGAAGGCAAGCCAAGCTGCACCTGGTCCAGGCCTTGCGGGCTGGGGCAGCAGTGCCTCCTCCTCCTCCTCGTGGCTGGTGAAGGGCCACCCATGTGTGCCCTGAGCCGGCCGAGAGGGAGGAAGGGGGAGGGCACCACCACCAAGGAGAGAGCCATCTCCTCCTTTGCCAACAGGGCACCTCAGCCCTCAGGTCTGTCCTCAAATGGCAGCTTTGAACCTCTTTCTTCCTCCCCTCCCCTTGCTTCACCTCACTTGCTGCCGACTCAGACCGCCGTGGCTCAGTTGGCGGTGAGGGCTTGGGCTGGCATGGCTGCCCCTCTCTCCCTCACACACACACACACACCCCGGGTGCCAGCAGCCTATGCTACACCACTGTCCTGTAGCCAAGCTAAGTCAGACCTTGAATTAGCTGCCATTCTGCACTCATATGATGTGCAAACCATTCCACTATGCTCCCAGTGCAACTTTTGCATTTCCTAACCGTGGATAAGAGATTGCAAAAAAGAAAGGGGGGGGGGGAGAACTGCACTAGGCCTTGGTAACTATTACCATGAATTATTTTACAGTGAATAATAACGGAACATAACATATGTAGTATTGCAATATTATTTAAATACCTTCCTCTTTCAGGGGCACGGAAGATGCAGTATTGAAAAACCATAAACGTGCAGAGAGGTTACTGGAAGAAATTCATGCCATGAAGGTAACGCTATGCAGATGCCTTTGAATATCTAGTCTACAAACTGCTTAAATTACAAACATCTGTACAGGTCTTTTTTAAAAAAAAAAATCCACTTCAAATAAATTTGTTTCAGATTTTGTATGGACTAGTTTTGGCTGTAAATAGAACATATGGGAGAGCAACAGACCACAAACGTGGTGGGAGACTATTTTTAAATTTATATTTTACTTTTTATTGGTGTAACTGTCAAGGTGCTAGACTAATTTGACTTGTACGTGTTGCCAAGCTAAACTAGCATTTGTTTCCAACAGACCAGTGTGCCTCAATTTTTAATTCCTGAACTGAATGATGACTGTTAAGTGCCTCTGCTGCTCAGAAATGCGATGGACATTTTGGTGGTTGACATCATAGTTTCTAGTCTTCCCACTTGCCAGCTCCTTACATTTTTCTGCAATGCTGTCACTGCTCTAATGTGCAAAGCAGTAACTGACAAAATGGATTGAAACCAAAGTATTTTTTCTCTTCTGAAGCCAGGGTATTCATTAGCATTTGCAAGGCTCTTTTACTTCTCTTACACTGACATGCTGAGCCAGTAAATGTCTGGCAGGCTCTTGAATAACAGATCTTTTTTGTAGCAATGAATAGCTTAATTACAGTCTCTTTTCTTTGTACAATATTTATAATTTTAAACGTCAAAGTGCAAGACTGGTCTTTCCAATTAGCCATAAGATTAAGCTGCAGGAATGCTGTTTTGCCCTGCTAATGAATGCATAGTTTACTGTTCTAAACAGGTGAGCTATAGTAATTTTACACAATATGCTGGTTCTTGGAAGTATTTAAGAACTCATTATTAATGAAAAGTAGATTAAACAGCTTCCACTTTGGTGCCTATAGAATTGCCTTAAAATGTATACAACAGTTTTCAAAGCACATAGCAAATGCACTGGTCTTTGTGATCGCCAAAGAAGAAGAAGATAACTTTAAAAGAGGGGAAATAAGGAAATGTTATTTTAAGTCTCTCTGAGACAGGCTACAGCCAAAAAAACAAAATAATAGCAGAACTGGGTTGGATCCAGAATTTTGCTTAGCAGAGTTTCACTGGCACTGGAAGGAAGAAGTGATTTTAGTTTATTTGTCCTTTTCTCCGACAACCCCTACACCTCCTGAAAACTGCTCCATAGGGTTGGAGACCTGCAGGAGCTCTAGAGACAGCATGGCAAAAGGGGAAGTCAGTGGAAATCCTTTTCCATTCCTCTGGACAGAACCAGAACCCAATGCCTTCTATGAATGAACTCTTCCATTGAAGAAATAGCCATTCTGGATCCAGCCCTTTGTCTTTTAGCTATCTTGCCCTTTCTTCATTCCATCAAAAATGAAGGCTTTTAGTATCTGTGGAATTGCAGGGCACAGCTATGTTTTTGGACAAGCAAACGGACTTGCATTACAGAAACTTGATGGTGTGATTCAGATATCCAGTTCCCTGCAGAAACCAGAAATACTGATTACCTGTACCATTAATACAGTGGTACCGCGGGTTAAGTACTTAATTCGTTCCGGAGGTCCGTTCTTAACCTGAAACTGTTCTTAACCTGAAGCACCACTTTAGCTAATGGGGCCTCCTGCTGCTGCCGCGCCACTGGAGCACGATTTCTGTTCTCATCCTGAAGCAAAGTTCTTAACCTGAAGCACTCTTTCTGGGTTAGCGGAGTCTGTAACCTGAAGCGTATGTAACCTGAAGCGTATGTAGCCCGAGGTACCACTGAATTGGAATTTCGGCATGTTGCTGTCCTTGAAATGGGTCAAGCCTTTGAAACTTTGAAGCACTCCTAAAGTGAACCGTTGCAAGCTTGCATTTGGAGCACTTGCAGAATTCTTAGAGGACACACACAAAGCAGCCCTTGCCAATATTGTCAACCTCCTTTCCCTGCTCCAAGGTCTGGAAACTTTCCTTGGCGAAAGGGGGGAAAGTGGCTGAGGCATTGAGTGCGCCTTGGGCTCCTCAGGTTGTCTTCTCCTGCTGTTGATGGGACTGAGACTACCAGACCCAAAGTGCCCTAAAAGGCTTCTTTGTTTGTGGAAATTATGTGTAAAGGTTGTTTCCTACCAGTATTCTTGGACTTGGAGTCCAGTATCATCTCTGGCAGGAAAACACTCTCTGCCGTGGCCTGTGAAGCATCCAGTTCTGCTGTCGTCTTCTTGTGCCTTCTTGTGCCTATAGTGCATTTCAGAGTTTGGGGGCAGTTCACGGGATTGAAGGGATTGCTTGCTTCGATCCTGGTTGCAAACATTCAAGCAGAGGCGCTCACATTTTACAATGAACTTTGCCCGAAAGCTTCTATAACTCCTACTGTCAAGCTCAGGCATAGGCAAACTCGGGCCCTCCAGATGTTTGGGACTACAGTTCCCATCATCCTTGACCACTAGTCCTGTTAGCTAGGGATGATGGGAATTGTAGTCCCAAACATCTGGAGGGCCCGAGTTTGCCTATGCCTGGTCAAGCTTTTCTCTAGGTGTTTCTCTAGATGTTTGTACCTCTTTCATATGTAAACATGAAGTTTCTTTGCGAAACAGATTTCGAAATGGATTCAGGGGCAAAAACAGCTTCAGCTTGGAAAAAAAACCATTTCTATTTTGCAACGTAACTTGCATTATATAAAATTTGAAATACAGACCGCTGTTTGTCGAGCACTCTTAATCTCATGTCATGTTGGGCTGTGAGTTTACCTGTTTTTTTTTTTTATTTTAATGTAAAATACTTTTTGGGGTTAAAACATTCTGCTAGGTGCTAACAGTTATATATGAAGAATTGTTCAGTAGTCACTGTATATGGTACCCGATAAGATTTAGGCACTTGCGCTTGAAAAATGAATACCAGCCAGAGGATGGTATGTATTTGATGGAACTTGAGAAGTCCTGTCACTAACTGTTAAAAAGATTAAAGTTTTTCTCTATGGCAGGTTTGTTCTTATGACATCAGTGTGGTCTGGTCCAAGGGGCTTTCCCCCTTGATATTTGCACTTTATATTTATTAAAAGAGGACTAATAGGCATATGTAGTAATCAGATGATTCAGAAATCCCAAACATTCCAAACTCAAAAGCTAGAAATATCCTCTTTGCAGGCAAACAACATTGGTTAAAAATTCTAGCTACGTGGATGAAAAAACTGGGTTAATTGTTTGCAGGAGTTCTTGAAGCTATTGGAACAGAAAACTGTTTTTAGATTCTTCAGGCTTCATTTTGCCAGAACTGTATAAAACATTTATTTTAAAATACAGGAAAGAGACAAAGAACGCTATGAACCTTGCTAGTTCTTCCTCTGTACGTGATTTATTTTATGGATGTCCAAACTGGACATATAAGATGTATTTGTAGAAAAAGAGGGTGGATTACAATAATACTATTATTTGGCCTTCATTGATTCAATTTATCCTATTTCACAAAATATTTATATCACATGACATGTTACAAGTTTTTATGTAAACCCATGTCACTGTTCTGAAATGAGCATTCTGGGCCAGTGTAACAGAGCTGAGGTGATGCCCAGCTAATCCCTACTCACGGTAGACCCATTGAAATCAGTGGACTTATGTTACTTAAGTTCATTGATTTCCATGGATCTGCTGATATTGTGTATTTGTTGAATGTTGCCTATGATCCGCAAACCCTAATTAAGAAATTGGGAACTTGCCATAAGATTCCATGGTCCTGGCAAGGAACAAATTCCCTCTTCCTGCCTTAACAGCAGTTAAGGTGCACATCAGTATCAACACAGCTGACCATTAAAGCTAAAGAAATTTCAAGAATAATCTGCCTCCTATGGTTCAAAGTTAGGTATGAATTTGTCTGCAAATACAGTGGTACCTTGGTTCTCAAACACCTTGATACTCAAACAACTTGGAACCCAAACACTGCAAACCCGGAAGTAAGTGTTCCAGTTTATGAACTTTTTTCTGGAAGCTGAACGTGCTCTGTTTTGATTAATCTTCCGTTTTGAGTGACACATCTGTCGGTTTTGAGTGCCACACTTCCATTTTGAGTGTTACGCTGAGGTCTATCTGGTTTTGCTATTTATTTTGCATTTTTGTTTTTGCTGCTTTTTTGTGACTGTGTGGAACCCAGTTCAGCTACTGATTGATTGTGTGGCTGCAGTACATTGTTCATTGCTTTCATTTTATGCATCGGTGGTCTCGTTAGATAGTAAAATTCATGTTAAATTGCTGTTTTAGGGGTTGTTTCTAAAAGTCAAGAATGGATTAATCCTTTTGCATTACTTTCTATGGGAAAGCGCTCCTTGGTTTTGGAATGGACTTCCAGAACGGATTAAGTTTGAGAACCAAGGTACCACTGTATGGACCTTATAGATATAAACAGTTTTCTAGATAAATTTGTATATTTGTTTGTGTATTAGCAATAGTTCTTTGGAATTGTTTGAGTGTATTTCTTCAAAGTGTGGTGGCAAATGACAGCGCATTGATCAAGTTGCCATGTTCATTAGCTACACCTTGGATAATAGTTTTCCTTTCGCCACAGAGGAAGTGGGGAAATCCTTCAACAGGAAGGAAATGGGACTGAGCTGTTATGGCCAGCTCTGAACAGCAGGGTAAAGGTAAAGGACCCTGACAGTTAAGTTTAGTCACAAACGACTCTGGGTTGCGGCACTCATCTCGCTTTCAGGCCAAGGGAGCCGACGTTTGTCCGCTCTGCAGACAGTATTTCCAGGTCACATGGCCAGCATGACTAAGCCGCTTCTGGCGCAACGGAACACTGAAACCAGAGCAGCGCATGGAAACGCTGTTTACCTTTCCGCCTATTTATCTACATGCAATTTTTGGTGTGCTTTCGAACTGCTAGGTTGGCAGGAGCTGAGTCAGTTCGTTATCATTAATTTCTGAAATAATCGCCACGCATCATTTAACAAAACTGGATATATCTTCTCGCATACTCTTTCATCCATAAGGGAATCTTCCATAAGGGAATCAAGTGTTTAGGAATCAGCTGCCACACAGGTGTAGTAAGTTAAGTTGAAATGCTATCAGTCAGAGTGCTATTTGAGGATGTCAAGTACAAACTCTTAAGAATAATACGATGACTGTTTGGGGATAGTACCTGAAGAAAAATACCCAAAGAGGCAAGGCCAACCTTGGCGTTTAATCGAGGTGTGATCACTCCTTGTTCTGTTCGTTGTCTCCACTCTCATCGATTTACTGCCTCCAGGACTGCCTTCCCCCACTAGCAACCTGTTAATCTTAAAAAGGAGGCATTGTACGTATTCAGGAAACAAAGTACTGCCTTGCTTTCACAATACAGTGGTACCTTAGTTCTTGAACTTAATCCATTCCGGGAGCCCATTTGACTCCCGAAACGGTTTCAAAAACCAAGGCATGGCTTCCTTCACTCAATCGGAAGCCATATCGGACATTCGGCTTTCGAAAAATGTTCACATATCAGAACACTCACTTCTGGGTTTGCGCGTTGGGGAGCCAAGCTGTATAGTTTCCTTGCAACTCCCTTGCCTGCTTTAGAATGGCTGCAGTTCTACATGTATGCATGTTCACTTTTTGTGCCTATAATGTGATACATGCAAGACAAAGAAAGATATGGAAGAGAGTTGCATTTTTAAAAAATGTTTCTGGAATGAGTTGCAAGCTTGGGGGGTGTATTTGCGTGCTTCTCTCCTCCCAGCGAGATACATACGTTCCTGGCATGAAGGCGCTTCCTTCTGTGTGTGAAGTTGCCACAAGTTGCCTTTTTTCTATATGTGAGCTGCTGTAGCAGGATGGCAAATTATAAGCAGATTAGAATGGCTATGGCAGCTTGAACTTTTGCTTTGTGCAAGGAAGAGTATTAATATCACACAAGAGAAGAACAAATGGCTTCAAGATGAAATTTTTATGCGCCGCATGGTCCCTTCTGAAGTCAGTTCAGGGAGCAGGGTCATAAATAATGTTTGTTTTTCTTAATTATTGGATAATGACAGCCAATACAATCCAAAACAGCTTAATGGCTTGCCTTGTGACCAAAATGGAATTTTAAAAATCTGCTCTGTGTTCCGACTGCTTTTGCTGCTTTTCTCTTCTCTCTGCTTGAATCTCAAACATTTTAAAAGTTATTGCAGTTGTTTTTCAATGCCTGTGCCATGTTGGTAAATATGATTGCAAGAAAATGGCTTCATTTATTGTTTGTGTGTGTGTGTGTACTTCTTGAACTTCAATTCTAAATTTGCTAACAAATGGAGTTTAGAGTTTTCCTGAAGAATTTATAAAGCAAAAAAGGAGACAGAACTATGTACTTCCTGTGAATTTACAGCTGGCTTTTCAAGCGAAGGATTTTTTCTACTTTACTTTTACAAAGTGGCATGAATATTTCATGGAATGTACTTGTAAGAGCAGTGGCTAGCTAAATTACAGTTATACCTATGCCAGTGAAATACCATAACATCTAAATTTTAGGACTTCCAACTGTAATACCATTTTCTGCCAGAAAGGGTTTTAGTGGACTGTTCAAGTTCTAGGTCATAATGAGTATGGATTGGCTTTACCTGCAGCCAATTGGAAGCCGCAGATGTCCTGTTGGACATTCGGGTTCCAAAGAACGTTCGCAAACCAGAACACTCACTTCCAGGTTTGCAGCATTTGGGGCCCAAAATGTCTGAGTACCAAGGCGTTCAGGATCCAAGGTACAACTGTATTTGAAAATTAAAGAGAAAACTGCTTATGATGATAGTTACTACCTAAGTACATGCCCACATATCAAAACTAGGAAAGCCTATTCTTGCTTTAATCCTGATATTGTTTATAATTGAAATTTGATGTTGACTTTGGGGAAGGTGATGTGGAACACAATTCAAGTAAAAATTAGAGGATGCTATCCCAAGCGAATGCTGACATACACAACTGAAGAATTGCTAAGGAAATGGAATGTTCAAACATTGCAATTTTGGTTTTTGTGATGGCCCCACTGAATGATGCTATGACCCAGCTTTTTCCTTTTGTCCAACTTGGTTTTTGTAGCATCGATAACCAAAATACTTTCTGCAGTAGCTTGCAAAGAGCAGTTTGGAGAGCGACTGCTTTTTAAATCACCACAAAATTACAGTCTTGCAAACGAATGTTTTCATCCTAGAGGAAAGACGGTTAATTATATTTCCTATATGTGACTACTGACTTGAATGGGAACCATGGGGCTGAAACCGTTCCTCTAGTTACACTGTCCAAAATGCTCATATCATAGTTTCCAGTTTAAACTTTAAGCTGAAGTCATTGCTTCCATTTTGTCTTGGAAGCCTTTTAAAATCATGAAAATAAGTTTAGGAACATGTCACTGCATTTGAAAAGTTAACTGTGCCAACACTTTTGTACTTATCTGAATCATATCTCACTGATTTCGTTGGTGCTTTTCCCAAATTCAACAACTACATCAATGACATTTTATTACAGTCATAGACCAGCATAAGGAAAGAGGGGTACAATCATTTAAAATCATATAAAATCTAAAAAACAAAACAACACTGAAAGGAGTTAAAACAGAATATATATATAAAAGTCCAAAAGAAGCTGAGAAAAGTCTAAAAGAAGGGTTAAGAACATCAGACAAGAGTCAAAGAGTGCAAAAGGCTAGTATATATAAGACCACAGATATCAGTCTACAGAGCACTCCAAGTAAGTATTCACAGAATTACAGTCTTAAATCTATATGTGAGCCAGTAGAGTTTAGTTTAAAAGGAAGCATTATCCAAAGGGGTTATTTTAGGGATTCTAAGGGCATATGCATGCCCAAGGCCTTTTTAAAAATAAATGAATGTGGTTTTTTGTATAATTTTAACAACATACCTTTGTTTAACAACTGCATTAGTTGTTGGTTTTGAAGAAAGACTAGTTCAACTCTGAAGGTTGCAGGCAAGTAAGACTCACTGAAATGAATGAACCAAAGATAGTCATTAATTTCAGTGGGGCTACTCTGAGTAACATTGAATACAACCTCCAGTTTTTTTTAAAGGAATTGTGTTTATTTGGATTCTTGTCATTATTTGGAATGGTATTGTGGCTGAATTTGAGTGAGTGGGGATTCTTAGCAGCAGGAGATAAATTTGTGTCGATTTAGTACATTGAAATAATGCCGTTGTTATTGGTAAAAATACCAGTGCATGAGTTTACTTCAAGATTGAATTTCGTCTTAAATTTTATGTACTTGTAGACTATTTTATCTTTTATGAAACTGATAAATAACAGCTCTGGTCAACAGAGCAAAGTGTTTTAGCAGCCTGCCTACATCTGTCTACTTTGTGTGTAAATATATTTGTGGGTTTCTTTTCTTTACACCTGTAGACTAAGATTTCCCTGGGCCATAGGGTTGCATTCCTTACCACAGGAATTGGAAAACTCAGCCCGGCAGCCCTAACTAGGCTCATCATAGGCCCCATTTGGTCTGCGAGGTAGTTTTCCCCAAACCTCTCCCCCCCTGCCCTATACTTAATGTCCTTTATGATATCATCTGCGGGACAGGTAGTGACACAACTGCCAAGGAGCAGTCAGTAGCCTTAAGGTGCCCTTCACAAGGCTGCCAATCCGCCTGTCAAGAACTCTGAAGCATAGCTAGCCCCTGCCAAAAGTGAGGCTTGAAGTCATTGCCAGTCAGCTGTAAGGTACTGAATTTAACCTGGCTAGGATGGTTGTACCGTGGAGTTCCCGATGGAGAACTCAATATCCCAGCTGCCCCTGTTGAAAACACGGCTTGAGGTCCTCTGCCATCAGCTGATCGGCACTGACTTCAACCCCTAGGGGTTGGTTCTGTGCTCCTTGAATTCCAGCCACAAAGGAAAGATTGTGATGTCGGGGGATGGGCAAGTGGGCATCCCTTCTGGGCATGGGAACCCTGGATCTAGCCCACCAGCTAGAAAAGGCCCCGCCATGCCTTATGCATTTTGTCACTACTTGTCTAAGCTGGTCATTCTCATTTTACAGAGAAGTTTGGAAATGTAACCAGAGAGATTGTGACTTGGTTCAGCCGGCTCTGTTGGGAGTTGTGATTTTAGGCCAGGTCCACTTCACAACTTTATCAGTTACACGCTATTTCTGTGCCATCACACAAGATGCACGCTCAATGCTTCTTTGTTAGCATTAAATATGAACTTGGAGATACAGTCGTACCTTAGAAGTCGAATGGAATCCGTTCCGGAAGTTTGCAATGGATGTTTGGGTTCCAAAGAAGGTTCGCAAGCCAGAAGAATCACTTCCAGGTTTGCGGCGTTCAGGACCCAAAACGTTTGACTCACAAGTTGTTTGAGATCCAAGGTACAACTGTAGTGGGTATCAAGTTCAAATTAACTGATGATTCTTCCTTTAGTTTAGATGGAGGTGGTGTTGGAACTCCTTGTGGGTGAAGTATATTGTAAAGCTAGTAAGTGGGTGAGTGTGTTTTGCCTCCAAAGTCATGAGGATGTTTTTCCCCAGTTGGCACCAAAACTTCAAATGACATTTCCATCTGCAAAACCTGATGTGAATTTGACCACAGTAGCTATCAGATGGCTGGAACTTTCATCACCTGGCTATGACCAAAAGGGGAAAAAATCCCCTTGCTATTTTAAATTTGCAATTCCAGATGTGATGTGTTACTTGCATTTCTTACCAACAACCAGACAATAAACAACAAGTTTTAAAATAGAATACTGGAATGAAAGTCACAAACTGAATTAGCCTAAGCCAGTCTCCATATTGTAGCATATTGTGGAAGAATTAAGAACATTTTAAATGATGCTCGTTGAACTGCCTGTTCAATCCACTGCTCAATCCATTACTTGAATTGTGGCTTGTATGGAGTTGCCAAGATACAGAAGTACATCAGAGTACCATAGGAGACAACTCCCAGGGGCTGTGGGGGCTTTGACCCCCACAATTAAATATTGGGGGGGCGGACCCCCACAAAGTTGATGGGCATTCCCATTCAAATGGTGTGTGTGCACTGTATCATGTGATCGATTATGCAGGGTGGGGCTTACCTGCCCCCCCTATATTTTATTCAGGTTGGCACCCCTGCATTGTAGAGAACATCACTAAATAATGTAATGCCTTATGTCGGTTAGAAATCATTTACATTTCCAGGGTGACCCGAAGTGGAAGCTGTGTGCATTGTTTTTTCTAAATCTAGATGATTCAAATGCAGATTCTAATTTTGAATTTCATATCCAGTGGTACCTTGGTTCTCGAATGTAATTTGTTCCAGAAGTCCATTTGACTTCTGAAATGTTCGCAAACCAAGGCGCTGCTTCTGATTGGTGCCAGCACCCAGGAAACAATAGCCAACAGATCGGATGTTCAGCTGCCGAAAAACATTCGGAAACCGGAACTTTTACTTCCGGGTTTTTGGTGTGTGGGAGCCGAAATGTTCAAGCACCAAGGCATTCAAGAACCAAGGTTCCACTGTATTTTCTAAATAAGCATGCATACTACCTGATAAACCAGCTGCTGTTACTCTGTATTGTAACTCTACCTCATAACTGTACATTGTATCTCTACCTAGTGTAGCCATTTACACATCGCCACAAAAAAAAGGGGGGAATTGCAACAAAATAAGGGTATTGTTGCCAACGTGCTCCGAAAGAAAACTGTACAGGAGGTGGAGAACTGTAAATGCCGAGTGGTTGAAATTTGGGGATATTGTTTACTGCACTATGCAGCTGGCGTTATCCTAGAAGGGCTGTGTTATAGGTCAACTTGTGTGCATGTGGTGGATTTGTTTTATTTTATTAACATACAAAATCGAGCCTAAAACAAAACCATCACAGAAAATAGATATGAAATATCAAAGCAGAAACAAGAAGGAGGCCAGAGACATCAGTAATGCCTTCCAGATTTTTTGTATAATAGGAATTACAACGAGTCTATATATTAAAAAAAATTCAAACACCATTAACATAGATATCTCTTATTTTTCAAGGGGGATGAGCTGAATTTCCAGTTAGATTTTAATCTAAATTAGATTTTAATCCTGTTTTGCCAAAAAGGGGAAATGAAAGCCTTTAGCTAACTCTATTTCTCTCTCTTTTCCCCCCACAGGAGATAAAGCTTGACCACGTTACCAAATTAGCACTCGAAAGAGAAATTAATTTTGAGATTGTTTGCAAAAAGGTAGGATTCTTTGTACATATGTGTTAAGTCATCATGTAAACATGCTTGCGGGAAGGAACCCATTTTCGACCTGAGCAAATATATTTAGAGTAGTACCTCGTGTTACATACTTAATCCGTTCTGGAGGTCCGTTCATAACCGGAAACCGCTTGTAACATACGGCGCGCTTTCGCTAATGACGCCTCCCGCTGCTGCCGGGCCTCCAGAGCGCGACTTCCACTCGCATCCCGGGGCAAAGTTCGCAACAAGGGGCATCTACTTCCAGGTTAGCGGAGCGCATAACCCGAAGCTTTGGTACGGGGGACGGTACGTAACACAAGGTATCACTGTACAGCCATCCCAAAGGTTTGTCACAGGGTTTCATGTTATGTTGGTGCTGATGGCATATGTCACTGTAGATCCTTCAGAACACTTTTCTAACATTCTGACTTTTCAACAACAAAGGTATGTGCAGATGCCTGCTTTGGTCATGATGGATGCCTTGATGAGATTTCTGCTCTCAGTTGCAAATGTCTCTGTCCTTCGTTTTTTTCTGTGCACTGCAAGTTTAGAAGAAAAAAAACTCAATACATATCTCATAGAGATACTTTACAGGTGTCTATTTAGATTGTCAGCACTTTTACTTTTGAGGTGGGAGGTGGGGATAGAGCTGGGGATGTTTTTGTAAGTACCTCACAGCTGATCTGCATTATCCTATTTTATTTGTAAACTAGCATTATCGCTACAGATGCCAAAATAAATTGTATTTCAAATCTCATCTCTGGTTCAGTTGATTACATAGGTTTTAGGTGCAATTGTCTATCCAAGAAAGAGGGCAAAAGTTGCTGGCTGGCATTTTGAGATACATTTTGCAGATTTTACATTGGGAGACATTCAACCCTGTCAGACACTTTGCACAATGGACTTCTGTTCAGACAATTGGGGTTCTCTGTTCTCCCTGAAGCCCTTCATATGTCCCCAAAATCTGCTGCAGAGGCTTGGGAGAAATCCCATTTGTTCCTTTGGAAAAGAAGTCCTGTCATGTTAGCTGGTGCGACATTGAATCTTGCTCATTTATTTTTTCAGGGATTGTTTTTTCCAGGGGAAAAAAGGCTGCAAGTTCATTATATGCAATGAAAACCTTTGTGTTACAGGTTTTTCATTGCTTGAAATGGTCAGCATTTGTTTTAAAAATCATATATTTCCTATGGTCAATGGATAACTTAATAGCAAGGATATCTTATCACAGGATGGAGCAATTTAATTATTATTGAGATCCATCTTGTTAGTTAATGGATATAGTTAGAAAGAGGCAAACTTCTTGTGCCTGCGGGTCTCCAGCTTACAGCTGTCTTTGAAAGGGGGAGTTCTCAGATTTCTACCAATGCCCTAGCTTTCCTTTCAAACTTTGCCAAAGCAGAATGAGCCGATGTAGGCAGATTTGCTTACTCTGTGTAATATAATTTAAGCATGTAATGTGAGTTTCTTTGGCGGAATTTCTGTTTCTAGCAAAACCACAACATACATACAGTTCACCAATATGGTAGTTTAGGGTTTGTTGTGATCTCTTTTTGTTGTCATTGGGTTTGTTGTGATCTCTTTTTGTTGTCATTGGTTGTCATTTGTTGTCATAAATTGTCAATTTATTAATACAAGGTACAGGAAGCAATGTCATTTCTCCTTTCGGTGCTTCTCAGTGCATTTCATTTTGGCCACCACATTTTAACTAGTATACATACATTAAAAGGAAGCAAAAAATTATTTTCAATGCTTGGGGAAGATGAAGAATTAGAACGTAGAATAGAGTATGCTTAAGTGGAACAGCGGTTTGCAGTCAACCTAGCACAAAGTGGCCACAATGTTCTCCACTCTCCTCCCCCATGTGCCCCCTAAATCTGTTCTGAGAGTTCCCTCAAGCCCTCGGAGCAGATTTTGGGATGGTTTGGGGCATGTCCTGGGGGAGAGGGGGAACCCCATTGTGCTAGTGCATCAAATATTTGTGGGGTGGGGAGTCTGCTTTAGAGAAGTACACAAAGGAAGAGTTTCTCTCATGTGCCCCTCAGTAATGGGGAACCTGTGGCCCACAGGCCTTACTAAGCAGGCCAGGCGCCGTTTCAGCTAAGTCACACCCACCTGTACTATACCTGACATCATAGATATATGAAATAAGGTACAGAGCAGGAAATGGGGCTTGACAGCACCTGCAAGCTACACTGCTCAACCCTCAACTGTGCACTGTTTAGAAGTTGCAAAACACCGACAATCAGCTTGTTGGCAGTGCCTGCAAAGTACCGTTCTTCAGCCATGTGGTTTGATTTGAGACCACACAGACAAAGGGAAACAGGTCATCTGATGTTATTGTGATAACAGGTGGCTGACAGGTAGATGGTTCCACCCACCTGTCAGACACGGCACCTGGTGGAGAGGAGAGAAGACTCCAGCCCATGGACCAGACCTAGTTCTCCCACCCTCCATTGCAGTGATCTTATAAGGAAACCATTTCTCCATCATCAAAAGTGTTTTCTTGGTCCACATGTGGAACAGTCTGCCTCGGCCATCACTTTTTTTGTATTTTTTTGGAAGATGAGTGAAAACAGGTCTTTCCCCAATATATATGCGCCAATAGATTGTCAGTTATTTGGGACTCAGTATAACTTTGACAAGCTTTTATGGCTAATGATTGAATAGTATTTTATTGGTAATACTGTTACTGTGTTCTTTGTGAGCCATTTACACACTTCAAAAATAAATTAATAATTAAAAAAAAATACTTAAGCAATGAATGCATGGGAAAGCCCGTTGCTTTTATGCAGTGTGCATTACAGCCACTTGAAATTTATTGATTCAGAAGTTTTGGAATCCAAATCATGATGTTTCTCTGCTGGCTCAAGGCCATTCACTTTGAAAACGTTATGTTTTCTTCATGCTAATTATACATTTATGTTGCTTGATAGAAGATGCTGGCATTTGTTACGACATTAATAACAGAACACATAATTACTTACTTGGATTTTTAACATTCTTTGCCTTATTTAAAAATTCTGTGTGCAGTCCTTAAGCCAAGAAGAAACAAACTTCTGTGAAATCTCTGCTGTCGTTTTTAGCTAAATAAGTCTTGGTATTTGTTGGTGACATCTTATACTTAATGTGTACTTTGTAGGAAGTGAGTGCTTGGGATTCTGTCAATATGCATCTCATCCTAAAGTCAAAAGATACATGTGGTGAGCAGGTGTCATTGCTTTTGTGATCTGCACATCTTCAGGGCAAGACCTTATACTAAGATATCCCAAATTACTGCAGTGGGGTAGCCCTGTTAGTCTCTTGCTGCAAAAAACAATTAAACCCCAGACTGTTGTAGCCCCTTAAAGGCCCTTATGGCATTATCTTTTGTGAATTCAAACCCACCTTGTCAGATCACTCTGCTCAGTAGGGCTTTTGTAGTAGGTTAAAAGGCTGCTCGGAGTTCCCTGGACATGAATGCAGTAAGAAGCAAGTTTAATGTTTCTTCATAAGGCACAAGATAAGATACCCTAGGAATAACCTTTATAGAGCCTGAACAGTCCCCTGATTCTGTCTGAAATGGAATTGACTGTGGGTGTTTAAAAACCACTGTTTCCTGATAAATTTCCATGGCAAACAGATCCTAACTTCAAACACAAATGGTTGTGGTTACTCTTAAGAACATTGGCGATGTGGGAATGTTTCATGAAGGTGTAAGATTTGTCTCCCTGTGACTAACTCTGTTCCTGTAATGCAGATGATTCAGCCTTGTGGTCTTCAAAAGATTTGTACGTTTGAACTATGTTCTTAAATATTTTCGCAGCCTTAAGAATTTGTTGTCTAGCTTAACGTCTCCTCGGTGCCAAAGGTACACTGTCTGCCCGGTGATTTTGGCTTTTGAACGGAAATGAACTAGCTCAAAAACGGTTTCAAGAGTTAATATCCAGTCCTGGTGCCCGACAGTGTATTTTTCCTGTTGGTCTACCTCTAAACACTGTGCAAAAGCATAATGGATAGTTTCCATGTGTACTATAGCCTGCCAAATGGCTTTCCCCATTGCATAGATTATTTCTTCACCACCAGGAGCCTGGGGAAAATTTCAGTGAGAACAATCCATTTAATGGGGTTTTCTGTGGCCACCATACAGAGCAGCTGCTACAAATAAGCTGTTTAATGGAGCTTTGCAATGGCAATGCAATTCTGAGACCCTGAGAATCCTGAGAAATGAAGGGTCCCCTCCGCTCCTAACTCCAGAGGAAGTGAGTTCAGTTCCTAAATCAACGTCTTACGAATTTTGTCTCATACACTAGTCCAAAATCCTGCCTCATTGTTGAGTCTCCTACTGATGCAAGGCATGCACTTCATACAAGGAGTATGGGCAGCAGAGATCTGGATGAGATCAGTGGCTACAGTCACTGTGGGAAAGACTTTAAAATATTTTTGTTTTGTTTGGCATTTTAACATCTATGAATAAGCGAGCCTAGGATAATTGTTATCCACTATGCAGTTGACTTTTTATTTTATTTTACATTTTTAATTCTATAGCACCAGAGGAAACTTTTAAGCTAAGATTGAGAAGTGAAAAAGTAATGCAGCCTATACATACAGTGGAACCTCTACTTACGGACGTAATCAGTTCCGGAGGTCCATCCGTAAGTCGATCCAGGTTGCTGGTAGAAGCACTGTTGGGCGCAGGCGCATTCGGCGGCAGCACACTTTGGCACAGGCGCAAATTGCAGCAAACCCGGTATTTACTTCCAGGTTTGCTGCGGTCGCAACTTGGATTGGGCCCAAGTAGAGGTGGTAGTAAGTAGAGGTTCTACTGTACTGACTTTGGAATAAGCCCCAATCAACTTGGTGGAATGTCCTTCTCAGCAAACATACAGAGCATCAGGTTTTAACTCAATTAATCTATCCATGCAGTCCTGCATCTGCTCATCAGAAGCACATCTTACTGAGTTCCATAGGATTTAGGATTGCAGCAGATATGTACTATAATCTGCATACCTTGGATGCTTTGAAAGACTTGGGCCAAATTTTTTGGCATAGTGTCATGGGCATTCTTATGGGAAAATATGACTGCTACCATCTTTTGCCAGGGTTTTATGTGCAGAAAAATACTAGTAAGCTATAAAAATGTGGACGTCAAATTGTATGTTTAGCAACCCTTTCCTTCTCAACTGTCACTATAAATGGGAGGAAATTGAATTTGTTGTAAAATGAAAGATTTTAGTGTTTTCCATTCGTGCATGAACTAAAGGTATTCGGTGCTCACACAGAAGCTATGACTGCTCTTTGGTCACGAGAAAGTGTTTCCTAATCCTGCAGGTTGGCAAAAGTAAGTTAGATTCATTTTTAGAAATACAGATTCTAGCTGTTCCTAAGTCTCTGAAGATAATAGTATTTGATCTTCAGAAATGCCAACTAGGGTGTAGTTTGGTGTAATACCACTGCCATTGGTAACCTTTCAAGCCCCTTATTACAGCATATGCAGATTTAATCTTGATAGGGTTGATTTTCTTTTTCTCCTTTTTGTTTTGTCACTCATCAAGATGCTTCACCATTTTTCTAATACAGCCTAATTCTACAGTAAGAGAAAGAGCCGTTGCTAGATTGACAACGCACCCACTACTGAAGACAAAAATTGCCAATATTAAAGGTAAGCCAAAAATTGCCCAGCTAATCTTCGTACACTGGAGCATGTACAGTAATAATAATAATAATAATAATAATAATAATAATAATAATAATATCATTGTCTTAAGCTGCAGTGTGTCTAGGCATTGATGACCTTCTCAAACTGAGTATTTGCAATAGTCGAGTAAGCTAAATGTATTGTATTCTGTGTACCTGAAATAATGGGGGGGGGGAGATCTCAAAAGCAGTGCATCTACAGATGCCTAGCACGCTCATAAGCCAAATGTTTCTGGGTGTGTCTTAAGATTTTCAGGGCTATTCTATAACCATGTGCACTATTGCACGTATGTATTGTTACTCATACCAACAAGTTGAGGGGTTACGCTGACTCATAATTACCACTCTTGCTATTTCCATAGTTGCTAAACTAGTGAAATTAAACAATGATTCAGGATGTTCTGGTAGAACAATGAATACATACTGTTAAAGCAAGACATGTGCAGTTCAGTTTTTATTTAAAGGCTTTAAGAATGAGACCTTGATGAACTGCTTAAGTCTGTGTGTGATTGAAAGTAATTTCAGTATGCTCAGTAGGGCCTGTGATTAAGTAAGTGTGTCTACTTTTGCAGCCAATGTTTCTTGGTAATTTATCTTTTCATCTTGTTGTTTTTTTTTTGTGAGCCCTGGAAAAGAAAGAGTCTCTAATTCCCCCACCTCTGTCTTTACTCTATTACTTGGAGAGACTTGGAGTTTTACAGCCTTGCATCACTGGGGCCATCTTTAACTTCCTTTATATTTTTCAGTTGTCTTTCTCCAGTAGCTGTAAGAATATGCTTAAGTGCCTTCTAATGACTTTCTAATTAGATAAAGAGGTAAAAAAGGTAAAGGGACCCCAACCATTAGGTCCAGTCGTGGCCGACTCTGGGGTTGCGGTGCTCATCTCACTTTATTGGCCGAGGGAGCTGGCGTACAGCTTCCAGGGCATGTGGGCAGCATGACTAAGCTGCTTCTGGCAAACCAGAGCAATGCACGGAAACGCCGTTTACCTTTCCGCCGGAGCAGTACCTATTTATCTACTTGCACTTGACATGCTTTCAAACTGCTAGGTTGGCAGGAGCAGGGACCGTTGCGGGGATTCAAACCGGCGACCTTCTGATTGGCAAGCCCTAGGCTCTGTGGTTTAACCCACAGCGCCACCCGATAAAGAGTTACTAGCTTTCAATTCTACGCACACTTACCCATGAGAAAGTCCCATTGAATTTAATGAGAGACTTGGGGCCATCCCATGGCATAATTGTCACTGGGAGCCATTGAGTAAAAAGTCCAAACACTCCTGCAGTCCTATACTCCTGACTACCTTTCCAGTGCCTCTTGGTGCATGGTTCAGTGAACTGGATGTAGAATCCAAATTGTGTGGGTGAGAAGGCTTCCTATGTCCTATAGCAGACATAGGACTCAGCTAGACAGGTAAAGAAAAAGTGATTTATATGTGTTGGATGTGCCATATAACATTGTGCCACCAGATGGCGATGTGGAGCCCCGTTTTTCTCTACCTGCTTTCCCTGTTTAAATTTACAACGCTTTAAACGCTTCTTCGATGTGTCTAGATCCAGGCTTAGTAATAGGTATGACTTTGGGCACACTTGCCAAAGGTGTTGGTCGGATGCCTTATACTTGATGTAAACATATTCCTCTAGAAAACTGCCTTCCCTAACACAGACCCTGTCTGGACCATGTATTCTCTACCCCCATTGTTCAGCCGGGACACTGAGATCCAGCTCCAGGGGCCTTCTGGCGGTTCCCTCCCTGCGAGAAGTGAGGTTACAGGGAACCAGGCAGAGGGCCTTCTCAGTGGTGATGCCCGCCCTGTGGAATGCCCTCCCATCAGATGTCAAGGAAATAAACAACTATCTGACTTTTAGAAGACATCTGAAGGCAGCCCTGTTTAGGGAAGCTTTTTATGTTTAATGCTGCATTGTGTTTTTAACATTCTGTTGGACGCCGCCCAAAGTGGCTAGGGAAACCAACCAGATGGATGGGGTATAAATAATAAATCACTATTATTATTATTATTATTATTATTATTATTATTATTCTCTTCCTGCTACCAGAGACCCTCTTCACATGAGGTGCCACAAAGAAAAATATTTTTTTTCCTACCACTCCACTATGGGGCCCCACTCCATCACCCTCCACAATGAAACGAGTTTGCTTTAGAACCCCTTTTATCATTTCTGTGTTTGTATTTTTACCATTTATTCTGCATTTAAAAAAAAAAAAATCTTGCTTTTTTTTAAGCTGCTGTAAAAGCCTTCAAAGATGCGAGACAGAAGCCAGCAGGACCCATTTCTTCAGAAGAGCATAAATCGGAAGAACAACTTACCAAACAATCTGAGCTAACCCAGCATTCCAGTAGCAGTCTACATAAGAAAACAATTAAACAAGCTGGAAACCAAGACAAAATAAAGGTGAAAGAGAAGCCAGGCTCTGACATGGGAAAAGAACAAATTTGTGTGAGAGAGAAGCTGAAAATGGCAGATGGTGAGGAAATATGCGTGTTGGATGATGTTACAGTGCAGGCTGCAGAGCATCATAAATTAGCTCCTCAGGCTCAAGCAGAAAAGTCAGTATATTCCGAAGTTACAAAATGTTTGGATGACCTCCTGAGTAGAACAGAAGTTGATGCATCTGATAGAGTGACAAGTGAGGAAGCTGGAATGGAGAAGGAATACTTTGATGACAGCACTGAAGAAAGATTCTATAATCAGTCTTCTGGCTCTGATGAAAATGATAGTGATGATGACTTCTTCATTGGCAAAGTAAAGAGAACGAAGAAAAAGAAGGGAGCAGCTGATATTTCATTACCTACAGACCAGAAAGGCAAATGTATCCAGCTCAAAAAGGGCCCGCAGTCTGACACAGCCCAGGACACAGACGCAAAAGGCAAAAATCAAAGCTCAAAATCAATGAAGCTAGAATCCATGTTTTACTCTTCACTGTCAGACACAAATAAGTCCAAATCAGTGAAAAGGTAAGCCATCAAAACCCTCAATTTAGTTTGCAACCTTTTGGGGCAAATGTTTTCATCCTTCAAGTGGCTTACACACTGTGAGAAGTCTTTGCATGTTTTCTGACTAGCCTCCTCTGTTGAGTCAATTTTTGCATTAGACTTTCCCTAGAGGAGCTTCCATGGGACGCGGGTGGCGCTGTGGGTTAAACCGCAGAGCCTAGGACTTGCCAATCAGAAGGTCGGCGGTTCGAATCCCCGTGACGGGGTGAGCTCCCGTTGCTCGGTCCCTGCTCCTGCCAACCTAGCAGTTCGAAAGCACGTCAAAGTGCAAGTAGATAAATAGGTACCACTCTGGCAGGAAGGTAAACGGCATTTCCGTGCGCTGCTCTGGTTCGCCAGAAGCGGCTTAGTCATGCTGGCCACATGACCCGGAAGCTGTACGCTGGCTCCCTCGGCCAATAAAGCGAGATGAGCACCACAACCCCAGAGTTGGTCACGACTGGACCTAATGGTCAGGGGTCCCTTTACCTTTACCTTTAGAGGAGCTACCATTGTCAGATTCAATTGCTTTAAGGAAGTCATGGAAACTGAGCCTTATTCACGATGAGACCGTGAGCTTGGCTTGGCTATCAAACCCCATTGATGCAGAGCAGGGGTGAGGAAAAAATTGGCCCAACTGAGTGAAATTCTTAACTTCCTCAGCTCCGTAGACCAACTGACAAGTGGGCAGGGATTGACTGCTTGTCAATCATCTGATGTAAAAATGATGCCCAGTGAATAAAGTTGGCCTACAAAGTTGGGGACAGAGAAGTCCCCCTGCAGGAATGAACTCTAACTCATCAGCATATGGACAAGGGGGTTCAATGCGACTTTCCTCAAGGAAAGGAACCACATCTCTGCCTGCCCTCCACCTCATCTTTCATATGATGTCAGGTGTGGAGTAGGTGGGTGTGGTTTGGAGAAAGTTGCCTTGTGGGACAAATGGGGAGGCCTGGCTGGCCATATTTGGCCCATGGCCAGAGGTTCCCGCCCCAGATATAGATAATTCTCAGGTCCATTTATGTGCTTTAGGTTTCACACATATCACGTTTGTTGCACTCAATAATGTCTTGACTTCTAAAAATATCACTTTTTTCTGTTCTAGAACTGTAAAAGACCACCTTCCCAGAAGTAAAGCAAAAGGTAAGTCAAGTTGATGTTGCTACTTGCATTCATGCAGCATCAGAACAAAATCTCATTTTGTATTTAAACTGTAGCAGTAGTTTTTCAAATGCATTTAATTGTATTGAATTTTTTTAAAAAAACATTGTACTTGAACTTTATAGAGGCTTTTAAATTTTCAGTTTTGGAAAGGACATTTTTACAATCTAGGTTTGTACAGCTAATTTTACTAGCCCTACTCCAGGTCAAGCAATCGCTATGATTTTACTGAAGTTTGGAATAATGTGCTCTCCTTGTTTTCATATTTTCCAAAAGGGTTTATGAGGCACAGGAGTCTCATTTTCATATTTTATTAAATTTCGGGAGGAATTCAGTGTTGCACCAAGAAGATCATTCCATCAGGGAAAGAAAGCACTGTGGCTTGTCATATGTAATAATCCCCTTTTCACACACACACACACACACACACACACACACACACACACGGCACTGTTTTGCAAGTTCTCTCTGCCCCACCCCAGGGCCAATTTGGGCCTCTGATAGCCCAAGAGTTTACCAGTGCCACATAATTTAGTACTGTTTTATATACAATCAGAAGAAATTACTTTTGAAAACCACCTATCTCTGTACCATATTTTGAAGTTTTGCTTGTCCTCCAAAACTGCATGAAGTTCCACTTTGCATTGTCATGCCTGGAAGCTTTCCATAAGATAATTAAAAGATTGTCAGTGGCTTCTGTTTAATGTGTAAATGTAACCGGGGGTGTTGCGTCATAAATATATAATAAATAATCCCTAAAGCACATAGGATAAGGTGGATCCCGACATGTGCTCAGTGGAGCTCTGCGATCTCCATTCATCTTTTCCCAGGTGCCCCCTCAAATGCTGCTCAGGAGGGATAGGAGACAGTCTGAAACACCATCGGAGGTGGTGCTGGGGGCTACACAGGGAAATGGGAGAAAATTACAGCTTCACCCTCTTTGTATATTGAGAAGTCTACTGCGTCCTAGGTGGGAAATATCCTATCTGTTCACAGAAGAGCAAATCTGGTTCCAGTTTCTTATCTCTGAGGCACCAACTAGAAGCTGTATACCTCAATGGTGTGCGAATTGTCGATGCTCTTAATGGTCTATGAATTCTTGTGCAGGTTTTGAAAGAAACGGTCCACAGAAACAGATGTCCAAAGGTTTGAGTATGAAGCAAGGTATTAAGAGAGAACAATTGGAACAGCCACTTCATCCTTCCTGGGAAGCGAGCAGGAAACGTCGAGAGCAAGTATCTCAAATTACAGCATTCCAAGGGAAAAAAATTAAATTTGAAGACTAAGGGGGTTTTATTTCTTAAGGACTCTCTTCTTTTCCTCCTTTTTTAATCTCATCTGTTGACAACTTGTTGACACAGCTGTATAAACTAAAAACAGACATTTCATTTATAGATTTCCAATATAACGGTAATATATAAAATAAATGGTTGATTTTGAAGTCGTTCATCGCAAGAGGCTTTTTTTCTATAGAAACTCTTCTATGTTTGTCAAGAATAGCTCCATTTGCCATTTTTTTAACTTCTTAATGGGAACTTGCATGAAAGATCATGGGTATCGACAATTGGTGAAGATGCACCTCTTTAGATTCAATGGAATCCTTTTCCTGCTCCTGTTTTGTTGCTTTGCCATTGGTTGTTTTGTGGTTTTATTTTATGATTTGAATGCAAATTGTACTCGCTTACATTGAGACGTTTTTGTGACGTTTGGGAACCATTCAGTGAAGGGCTAGCTAGAAGTTCAAAAATAATAGGCATTTGTGGAAATCCCATAAGCAGAAAAAAACATTTTGCTGTACATCATAGGATCTTAGAATTGTAGTTGGAAGCAACCCCAAAGGTAATCTGGTCCAATCCTCTGCAATATAGGAATCTCAGCTAGATCATACATGACAGATGGCCATCTAGCCTCTGCTTAAAAACCTCCAAGGAAGGAGAGTTCACCACCTGTTGTGGGAGACCGTTCCACTGTCGAACAGCTCTTGCTGTCACAAAGTTCTTCCTGATGTTTGGTCAGAATCTCCCTTCTTGCAACTTGAATCTGTTGGCTCGGGTCTTAGCTTCCGGAGCAGGGAAAAAGAGGCTTGCTGCATTGTCCATGTGACAGCCCTTTAGATATTTGAAGATGACTATCATATATGCCAAATGAGGATACCATTCTATGCACCTTGATGGTGTTTTGTTGCTTATTAAGATGCCGCAGGGCTTGGCTGTTTTTGCTTGAAATGTCAGAGTTTGTATTAAATTACTAGTTCTGGAACAAATGTATAAACAGAAACTACAGGAAAACAGTATATGTCTTGCAGTGTGAATAACTGACATATGCTGTCCAAAAAAGAAGAGAAGAAGAAGAGTTTGGATTTGATATCCCACCTTTCACTCCCTTTTAAGGAGTCTCAAAGCAGCTAACATTCTCCTTCCCTTCCTCCCCCACAACAAACACTCTGTGAGGTGAGTGGGGCTGAGAGACTTCAAAGAAGTGTGACTGGCCCAAGGTCACCCAGCAGCTGCATGTGGAGGAGCGGAGACGCGAATCCGGTTCCCCAGATAAGGAGACTACCGCTCTTAACCACTACACCACACTGGAAGACTCCACATCAGAGGGCAGGAACCTGTGCCCAAATGTTGGATTCCAGCTCTTGTCAGCATGGCCAATGGTCAAGGATTATGGGAATTGTAGTCCCAACAACATTTGGAGGGACACAAGTTCACCATTCGTGCTCTAAAGGAATGAATCTGGGGTTAGATCGTATATTTACCTCCTTACTACAGTGGTACCTTGGTTGTTGAATGGCTTGGCTCCCTAACAAATCGGCTCCCAGTTTGCGAACGTTTTTCATAAGCCGAACGTCTGACGCAGCTTCCGATTGAGTGCACAAAGCTCCTGCAGCCAATTGGAAGCCGCGCCTTGGTTTTCAAACAGTTCTGGGAGTCAAACGGACTCCCGGAACGGATTAAGTTTGACAACCAAGTTACCACTGTACTGTTAAATGAAAGTCGGAAATTTGTATCTATACTGTTCAATGGTTTCATTTGTGTTTTGATATTCTGAGATTAGAAGGGCATTTGACTGAATTGAATGTCATTATCTAGTTTCAGATCAGTTAATTCTTTTGGTTATCTAGAGTGCATTAATTGAAAAAGTAGGGTGAAGTTGTTTGCTTATAATACTGTAGGATTTGTCTTTTACGTCCAAAAGAAATTATTTTCATATGGTCCTTCATTACTCTTGGGATTCAAGCTATGTCTTAACAAGCTGTAACTATTAGTGGCTCCACTGCTTTAAAAGCCTTTCCCCATTTTACATGCATGTTGGAGAGAAAAATATTACATAAGTTAATGCTAGCCCAATATTAGGGTTTCCTATCCCTTTATTATTTAGTCTCTCATTTTCCTAAATTTACAAATACTACACGACATGCCCTGAATCTCTCTAGTTGATAAAAATCTTTCCATTGGAGAAAAACAAGTTGTGAATGGCTAAAGAAAACTTGCACACTACATACAAAGTATTAAGATAACGCCTTTTCCTGTTTTAGTTGAAAATAGAGAAACTTGAAAACTTCATAGCCTGGGTAGCATCTCTTTACATGTCTCTGGACTGCCAAGAGTGCTTAGTTTTTCTTGGCAATTGATGAACAGGAGAGAATTTCTTACTGCTATAACTTATGACCCTAGCAGTATTCCTATGGGGTGTCTAGCACATCAAAGCATTTTTTAAAGTGCCGGATTTACAGCAAAGCTTTTGATCTAAGAAACGAGCTATGTAGACTTTGTCTACATAGGAGGGCAATACCAGGTGAATGTAAATCACATCTCTTATTTTCTTCTATTCAGATAAACCAGTGTTTTTAAAACTGCAAGGCATACAGAGACGTAGCACCAGTTGAAAAGCACCAATATAGAAGGAACATCTAGCAACCTTAAAATACATTATTGAATGTTTTTGTTTAGCGGTGTTTTGGATGCATGGCAGACTAGGATTCTGTTGTGGTCATACTATTGATACAAAAGTCTCAGTCTTATACTGTATTGTATTTTGTAGAAATAGAAACATTCTGAACTCAAGGATACATTTGAACTCAAAGTAATTTTGCAGACAGGCTTACTAAAATGGTGATACAGGACAATAAACTAGCCTACTGAAGACCCGTTGACTATCTGTCTAGTCTTGTGGCAAGGTCCTGATCATGAACATTACTGTTATTTTTATCCTATGAGCTTTGTCCCATAATAATCTTGTCATAATGCATAATTAGTAGCATTTTTACAAGCTTTCCCTCTGGAAAGTAGAGGCAGCCCTGTTATAGTCTGTTCTCCAAGCTCGATATGGTCTGTTAGCTATTAGAATTAGCAAACTTTCTGCTTATATAATTTTCCTCATCCATGTGTGATGACTTCTATAAACTCCTTTAGCTCTCTTAGGTTGACCCTCCTTTCCCTAACAAGGTAATTACAAAATTATCTAAGGTTTATATCTGAAGTATCATGTTTGTATTTTTTAGAGAATGAAATGCTTCCCCCATACAGAAGAATGATACAATCATGTAAGATTCCTCTTAACCTGTCAGAAAGATTTTGGTGAAAGCTGGAGAGACGTTCTGAGCATTTGAAAAACAAATTTATTCAGGTCATTTTCACATAAATCTGCAACCACGATACAAGAATTAAACAAGAATATGGAAGTGCAATGAAGAATACAAAGCTAGTGTATGAATAATTATAAATAACTTCTCAGAGAAAGATGCAAAGATTTTAAAAGCAAGGCTCTTTGAAAAAAAATGAAGTAAATATTAGAATTCCTTGCAAGAAGTTAGAGTGGCTCTTCACTAAATTTGTAACATTTGGTTGCTTATAAATTTCCTGACAGAAAACTGTTTATTTCAATTCAAGTTAAAATATGTAAGCACCTTTGTAGTATCTGGAATGTGAAAATGATGTTTTTGGTGTAAGGCACAGGATAGACCACTTGTAAGAATATAGTACTTCAGTTATCTCCAACTAAACCTATGGGGAGGTACTAAAATGGTGACTGGGGAAAAAATCAGTTTACCATTAAAAATCCCTTTGATCTAAATGTGAAATATTTGAATTAGAAACATTTTCTGCTATAGTCCGAATAAGGGCCTGCCAAAAAAAAGGGAAGAAAATCTATCTCTGTGTCATGCAGCTGGAAGGGGAAAGGATTAGTTTCTCGCAAAAAGATGTAGCCCATTAATTCCTCGTGTGTTCCAAAAACCACAAGAAAATCTTCCAAGCTGCCATGAATCTTCATGAATTAGTACCTTTCTTTGTTAGAACTGATCTTGGCAAAGTGAATCTTGGCTGAGGTCTGAATCCAAAAGTGTCAGATATTCCAGTTCACATCATATGTAACAGCAGATAACCTGCTTCCCTCCAATAAATGAAAACACAATTTTGTAACTGGGAATGCTGCTAAATGTGAGATAGTGGTCCTACGAAGTTGCTCGGCCCTATTCTTTGAGATGCCATCGTCATGCCATCAGCTTTCCTGACCCCCTGCTCTTCTCAGTAGTCACTGGCTCCCCAATACCAGCCCACAGTTTTTCCTGCTGCTACTAAAACACTTTTAAAAAGAAAGAAAAATTTCTACATATAAGCAAGCAAAGCTGCTTACACACGTATCATGTGGATAGTTAAAGGTAGGTAGCCGTGTTGGTCTGTTGTAGTTGGGGAAAAAAATAAAAAATTCCAGTAGCACCTTAGAGACCAACTAAGTTTGTTATTGGTATGAGCTTCCGTGTGATTGCACACTTCTTCAGATACACTGAAACAGAAGTCACCAGACCCTTATATAGAGAGAGAAGGTGGGGAGGGGTATTACTCAGAAGGGTGGTGGGAATGGGTGATAGGTCTGACTGTTAATGACTGCAATTGGTCTTACAGGAAAAAGCAAGGGGTGAGATGATTAAAAATAGCTTCATCATGTATAATGAGATAAGAATCCAATGTCTCTATTCAGACCAGGTCTCTCCATGGTTTTAAGTTTGGTAATAAGTTGCAATTCAGCAACTTCTCTTTCCAGTCTGTTTCTGAAATTCTTTTGTAATAAGGCAGCTGCTTTGAGATCTTGTATAGAATGTCCTGGGAGATTGAAGTGTTCTCCTACTGGTTTCTCTGTCTTGTGATTCCTGATGTCCGATTTATGTCCGTTTATCCTTTGGCGTAGGGTTTGGCCTGTTTGTCCAATATAGAGAACTGAAGGGCACTGCTGGCATTTGATGGCATACACAATGTTAGAAGTTGAGCAATTAAATAGTCCTGAGATGGTATGTTTGATGTTGTTGGAGCCAGTAATGGTGTTATTCCCACCACCCTTCTGAGTAATACCCCTCCCCACCCTCTCATTATATATAAGGGTCTGGTGACTTCTGTTTCAGTGTATCTGAAGAAGTGTGCATGCACACGAAAGCTCATACCAATAACAAACTTAGTTGGTCTCTAAGGTGCTACTGGAAGGAATTTTTTTATCATGTGGATAGCAATTGTTGTTGATGTATGAAAGGGTGTTGCTTATGTTCATGTGTGATACTGGACATATTACACATGGTAGGACTGGTGATTTCAACATCCACCAGAACTATCCAAGTTAAGGGGAAGGCACTGGCAAGCAAAATAGGCAGAAGCAGGTCTTGTCAGCCTGGACAGACAGTGGTGTGGATGACAAATATTTGTTTAAATTTGCAAAATAAATTGTAGTACTAAAAGTGGAGGAGCTTGAGCGTCTTCAAGACAATCTGAAACGCATATTCCAAGCCATTAAACATCTCCAAGAAATGGTTATTGAAAATGTCCTTATATTCCCCAAGCTTAATGTATATCACTTCTTTCATATTTAATGTATGGAATGCACTCAAAATGCAGCAAGTTTTAGTTCTAACAGCTAAAAAGCATGGCCAACAACTGAATATTTATAGGGCCTTTCAGCAAGCTAGTAGTGGGAAGGAAGACTCCCATCTGCTAGAAATTATTTCACAGTTTTGGGGGGTGGAGAAACCCATCTATTTCACTTTAGCCAAAGGAGGAATGATTCTTCTACCTCTAACAACCAATTTTCAATTTGGAGTTATGATTTTCTTCACTTGAATTATTTACAAGTTTGCCTGTGGAATCCTGCATATGGCAGGTATTATCATATAATACAGTACTGCATTATTTAGTATGCAGCCTACTGAATATCCTGCTAGTATTCTTCTTTCTGACTGCCTACAAGGTTTAAAACACAGTATTCATGGAGAACATCCATTAGCTCCTTGTGAATCAGTCTTTTAAGCCTTGTTTTGTGATGCTACCAAACTATATTACTCCTAACCTTTTTTTTTAAAACCAATTAAAGTTTGCACTAAATAATGGAATATATTGAGAAATTCCACCTTGTAAATAGACTTATTTTTTTCTGCCGAGTGTATAGATCAGCTTTAATCCAGGTTACCCAAATTCTATTAAGGGAGAACAGTTTCTAAATAATCGTAATTTAAAATCTTTAGAGCTGTACGGAAAAAAAGAAGAAAATGTGCAAAGCAATCTGCAGCAAACATTGGAAATGGGTAATTCACTATTTCATATTTCTTCTGAAAAAATGGCTTGTCAAAATATCAATAGGCATCTGGTTTAAGAAGAAACTTGCCCGCTAATACGTCTAAAATGCAAATACTTTCATCTGAAAAGGTGTCATGAATAGCCATTGCTATACATGAAGCATGAACAGTTCTTAAAAAGTGAACAATACATTTTGTCCCAAGGACAGAAAATTATCATGCTGGGTGTTTAGCTCTGTTGGAAGTTTCATTTCCCCAGAGTTTGGTCCAGATTTTGCCCCATGACCACTGATTTTTCCTCCTCTTCCTCCTTACTCTCAGTATTTATTATATGGCTGCAGACCAAATAATTAGTTCCATGACCCTTTGGACACCACTGCCCTGGCCACTTGCCACATAGCAATAAACCTCCAAAGAAAATGAAAATGTAAAAAGCATAGTTTTGATATGGAGGGGTTGGAGTCTGTTGTTAAAAAAAAGTAAAATGTGTAAGATTCCATTGGGCATATATGAACCTAAAGTAACTCTTTGAATATCCTTTAAATTGTTCCTTAAGCTCATTCACATATAGCGTACTGATTTTCCAGTAGTCAGAGAAAAGGCATTTCTGTGAATGGGTTAAAACTTCCTGTAGAATTTGAAATACTGTATATAAAGCACCAATCTTTCACTGTCCTCAAAAGTTGAACACATGAATTGAGTGACAACATTCATTCTGAAGGAGGTCTTAATGCTTCAGAGTCATTAAAATTCTTTTTGTATATACTCTGGTCCTTTTTTCGTTTTCGCTTTGAAAAGTTTTTACATCCTGTCTCAAGTTTATAAAATAATTTCACCTCAAAACCTTGGGCACCGTTGCATAAATTTTCTTTCATCTTAATACCTATTAAAGAGAAAAGAAGCAGTCGTTAAGTATAATATACATCAAGACAAAAGTACTAAATAGACCTTCAGATATCGTCGCTGGATTTAAAATTTAAGCAACATTAGCACAACACTTTTCCTCTGCTTAAACTGCTCCTATTGATTGACCTAAATGAGATGCAGTAAAAGACAAATCACTATTGACTGTACCCTTGCACAGGTCTCTAACATTAACAAGTCTTGTTAAGAGTTTAAACACTCGTGCACTTAGACAACATTTCATTACTTCCAAATGGAATTGTGCCAGGTTCTTAAAGAAAAGGGGCTGTTCCCCGAACGTCGTTTTAAATTATTTCTTAGCATAGTGAGAAGCTGTGACAAATTCCTCTTGCTGCTCTGCTAATGTCACTGTTGACCTCTTAAGAATCCTGCTGTTCTAGCTCTTGGGCTCTTAGAAACTCACACTTGCAAGAATTCATAAAAGCCTGTGGCGAGGCCTCTTAACTTGTTGATTCTGTAAACCAACTGCAACTTTGGGCTAGTGGTGACAAAAATAAGTTCAGTGGGTTTGTTTGGATGAATAAATATAATTGCCTATTCTTAGGGCTAGTACTGGTGCTGGTGTTCTCTAGAATGCGTTTAATAGCTTGTTCCTTAATGCAAGCTGAAGAATAAACATGGATATTGGAACAGGGGTATTAAAGACAAACGTTGCATTGTTATATACAGATGAGCTCATGCTAATTACTGAACGCCAGAGTTGCAACTTCCTCTGAAGCACAGATCCCCACCCACAGCAGATATCTCCATGCAACCATGTTAACAATCCTATCTCCCCAGGCACACATTTACATGGGAAAACAGCGAGACCAGATACAGTGACTCCCATAACTGCTAGGGGAAGTCCTGTCCAAAAGACCATTGGCAGTGCTATCAGTGTCAAACATAATTCATCTATTTATGCAAGTGTGGGCCTGGATGATGGACCAGACCAACTGTATATGGGCAATCCCCAAGGGGCTTGGTAAAACTAAAGTCAGCTTGGATTCGTTTGAACTTCCTTAGCAATGTTCTCTGGGTTTTTGTAAGGATGCTCTGTATGTGGAATGCATAAGCAGTATCCGGAAAGTTGTGTGAGCCAGAAATAACAGCTGACGCTTGCTAAGTCCTACTGCTGTAGGAATGTACAAATCCCTTTAAATCCTCAAAACAAGATTTCTAAAGAAGTATTTCAGAAAGAATCTGACTTGAGTGTCTTGCACTGGCAAGCAATTCAACACTTGCGTTACTCTTAAGTTCATTCTAGGCCATTCAATCTTACAGATTTTATGAAAAGCCAAAGAATAAAGCACATCATTTCACTATGAAGAGGTTCAAATCTGAAAACAAAACAACTGAGTCTAAGAAAAATGACATAAACAGGCCATGTTCATACATTATGGTAAACCATGGTTAATGGTTTACTATTAACACTAAGATTGTTACTGCTTTGCTCCCCTGCGTCTGTATGAGTGGGAGCAACAAACTCCAATCCCTGACCTAGGATTACGCAGGAAGCAGGGACCATGTTACAAAGAAACCAGGATCAAACCTCAAATTAGCCATGGTTTGATTGGAGGAACACAAACCATGGTCCTTGATCTATATGTAACACTGAGCCAGGGATTGTGCTCACAGTAACTAAGATTTATTGTGATATATGAATACAGCCATTGTTACAATGACAGGAAGGGAAGCCTGCATTTTATAGAATGAGCCTTTTTAGTCAATAGCACTAAACTATATGTTAGGGACTATATATAGGGACTATATATATAACTATATATAGGGATGCGGGTGGCGCTGTGAGTTAAACCACAGAGCCTAGGACTTGCCGATCAGAAGGTCGGCGGTTCGAATCCCCACGACGGGATGAGCTCCCGTTGTTTGGTCCCAGCTCCTGCCCACCTAGCAGTTCGAAAGCACATCAAAGTGCAAGTAGATAAATAGGTACCGCTCCGGCAGGAAGGTAAACGGCGTTTCCATGTGCTGCTCTGGTTCGCCTGAAGCGGCTTAGTCATGCTGGCCACATGACCCGGAAGCTGTACATCGGCTCCCTCGGCCAATAAAGCAAGATGAGCACGGCAACCCCAGAGTCGGCCACGACTGGACCTAATGGTCAGGGGTCCCTTTACCTTTTTATATGTTAGCATAATATGCACATAACTCAGAATCGTACAATTCCCCCCTCCAAGAAATTGGAAGCATCTGCTCTCACTTTTAACTTAACCATAGTTCCCCGTTACATTTGAACTCAGGAATTCCAATTGATTTAAACAAGTGATGGTCATAAGCCATGGTTTGATCCTAGCTTGTTTGAACAAAGCCTAGTTTGAACTAGCCATTGACCCCCTGTGATATGAAAAGGAACTTTGTTAGTTTAAAAGCACAAATGAATGCTTCTTGAGCTCATCCTTCTACCAGATAAGAGGAGGAAAGGAGGGATTATGTGGTTTGGCATTATGTGGTTGAGATAAGACCAAAAAGTCTCATTCTATAAAATACATTCTGTGCAACACATTTTTGGAAAGAACATAAAAATGTGTAAACTTTTGGTGTAAAAATGTGTAAACAGGAAATTACTTACGGTGAAATTGTGCAGCCAGACGCATATGCATGGTGACCTGTATAACGGATATCGCAACGCACTACATTGTTGGAGTAGTCGGATTCTGGTACCAAGTAGCTCGGGTTTACACTAACCTGCAAAAGAAATGCATGCTGTACTTTGCAAGTTCATATGTTGATAATTATTATTATTATTAACTTTAAAATGTAATTTCCATACCTTTAAGATGTAATTTCCAGGTTTAACATCTGTGATATCAATCCATTGGCAGTCTATGTCAGCATTGTATGTGTCGTAACACCCAGGGCTCAATCCCTAAAATCAAAGTGTAGCAGGAAAGTGAAGTGAAAGTCTTAACTTTCTTTTTTATATATATATAAAAAGTACAATGTTGACAAATGCCAAAAAGCTTGCCTGGATAGTTAGCATTTCTCAGTGATTCATAACACCATACTGCCACCATTACTTCTATCAAAATGATTGCTCTCCTGCTATATGAATAGAATGACCCTTATAGAAAAGGTCTAAATTCTAGCAAAATAATTTTGCCTTCCGAAACAAACAAAAGATCCAGTATTTTCCCATTCAAAAGCAAAGGAGCCATTTTCATGAAAGACAAGGATATCAATGGCTGCTAGACACAATCACTATATTCTTCCCCCCACTATATTCTCCTCCCAGTTGTTGCAAGTCACAAGGACAGGACCTCTTTGTGAGCTTCCCATTAGGGTAACTTGGTAAAACAGGACTTAGGCTCTTTTCATGTCTCATTGTTATTTTGCTAGGTTAAAAGGGAGGCTTGACTTTAGGAAACATATTTTTGTCCTGAAATGACAGCTCCCCTTAAGCCTTGAACTCGCAGCTCTTTGGGTCTACGTAATGTGTGCTGTTCAGTTCCTTTCCCTACCCTGAAATCATTCTGAGTGGTGCCTGGCTGCCCCTACGAAAAGTACAATGTTTTGCCACAGACTGTGTGTCACTTGGCAAGGGTTGCGTACTTGCTGCGGAAAGAAAGCTCATGGGTATACTGAGAGCTGGCAGCTATGCGCATTTTTTTAAAAAATAGGATGCAGTCCTCATTTGCTGAGGAAAATACTTTGCAACAAGCACAGGTCTCAAAACAGCGGATGAAGCCGCAAGAATTCTAAAAGAATTCATAGTAGCAATCAGATGCTATAATACTTAAGAGACTCAGCTAGCCAGTTTGCAGAAAAGTTAGGAAAGCATTCCAGGACCTAAATCTGTAGGGGCTCACAAGAAGGTAGTTGCCAGTTGCCTCTAAACTTAGTTGTACCCCTTGCAACCAATATAGGGATCAGAGCTGGAAGATATCTGAATGCATTGTCTGAAACTGGTTTGAAGTTCAGATTGTGATACCAGTTTCAACGTCATTATCCAAGAGATGGCATTTCTACATCTCTCTGTGAATACTGAATAAAAGACCTTAGTAAGAGCTTCGTGTCTTTCCATTACTGGCAGCCTGCCATGAGGGAGGGGAAACAGATTCCCTGAAGCCTATATGGTGCTGTTGTTTCAGGGTCAGTCAAGACTGATGTTTGAAATCCATCTTTATTCTGACAGCAAGAGATGAAAAATGATCAGTGACTACCTTACCTGCGTATGTGCTGTACACGCATACCTTCTATAGTATCCGTAATCGCAGGACGTATCTTCAAGACAAAAGCTTGCTTTGTGTCCTTCAGCTACCCTCCTTTGGGAGCTTGCTTCAAGCAAGTCATAATGGCTGAATTCATCCATACTGTGGTAGTGTCTGTTAAACCACAGGCAAACTTTTTTATTAAGTGTTAACCCAACAACCATAATAATAATAATAATAATAATAATAATAATAATAATAGTGGCCCAGCAAAACAACGTTGGCATAGAGCCTTACAATCGCTGTTTATTATTCCAAACTAATGGGCTAATATTTTGTTGCCCTATGATACTGTTCTTCATATAGTTTCATTATTCAACAATTATATTACAAATACAGCTCTTGAGAGTAAATTGTTGCATAGCATTTAGTTTGTTTAAAGACTAAGCAAAATTGTTGTTCCAAAATTTCCTGCTGCAAGAATTAGGAAGCATATGAGTCTATATCGTTCATCTGAATGAAAAATGCTTACTTTGTATACTGTAAATTCCAAGGATACTATGGATTCTGATTCTTTTTCTATCAGCGGCCCCCAAGTATTTACGCAAAATATTTTGATATTTAAACTCCACTGTGTTAAATATGTTCTAGTTTTACACACATTGCCTTATTATGCTTCTGATTATTCATTGGTCATATTGTGAAAGGCGTGTTCTGTTGCTACATTGTATTTCTCACAGTAGAGTAGGTGGAGGGGAAATAGATTCAGGTAGGTAGCCGTATTGATCTGACGCAGTCGAAATAAATTAAAAAATTGTGCAGTAGCACCTTAGAGACCAACTAAGTATGTTCTGGATATAAGCTTTTCTGTGTGTGCACACTTCTTCAGATATCTTCTTGTGTGCATGCCCAGAACATACTTAGCTGGTCTCTAAGGTGCTACTGGACAATTTTTTTATTTATTTGGAGGGGAAATAGGTTAACTTTAGACAGCCACTTCAACATCTTATCTCCACTGTATTTTCTTATTGTTGATTCCAACAGAAGATGGAATCAAGTAACATGTTTCAACACAAATGTCCCTCTTTGGGTCTAAAGCTGCCTTTGCAGGCCCTCCCAAGCTGATGTGAGTTGTGGTACCAAACATCTGGGGGCACCAGATTGGCAAAGGCAGGTCTAAAATCAACGAAGGTAATATTTGCCCTATGTGTGGCCTAAGCAGCTGAAAACCAAAGGCTACCTTCTGTTGTACAGCAGTCTTCAGATCACAGAAACCATACCTATATTAGCACATCTTTGAATCCTTCCCATATGCAGGAAATGTTCATTGAGTTAAAGAGCTCGGATACCAACATCACCTTGAGTCGACCAATTTCACCCACCTAACATTTCCACTGATTACTGAGTAAGTATGTTCTGAATGTCCAAAATGTATACATGGAAGATGAACAAGTTAAGTTTTCCATCACATTGGAATAGCTCCTATTTATTTTCTACAGTGGAACCTCGGTTTTTGAACGTCTCGGAAGTCGAACGTTTCAGTTTACAAATGCCGAAAACCCGGAAGTAACTGCTTTGGTTTTCGACTGCTTTTTGGAAGTCAAATGGCTTCCGTTTTGAGTTTTCTGTAAGTAAATACTGCTGGAATTGAATGCTTTGGTTTTTGAACGTTTCGGAAGTCGAACAGTCTTCTGAAACGGATTGCGTTTGAAAACCGAGGTTCCACTGTATTCCTAAAGCAGGGTTGTAAACTTGAGTTCAGTGGGTAAGGGTTCGACTCCTGCTATTTTCTGCATGGCAGCAAGAGCAGGGGAAGGGAGTGGAGTGGAGTGCTGGAAGCCACATCACAACAAACAAACAGCAAGTGAACATAATTGGAAAGTACCATACTGAGCCCTTCACTCACTGATGACAACTGTGCCACTCCCAAGAGTATCGTGGTCTGCTTGGCAAGAAATCCGAAGTGCCTTGGTTTTTCACTCTCTGGGGGAATCTCAGAAGCATTCTGTTATCATAGTCTCTGACATCCGACCTGTAAGCTGAGCTGCAAATATGTAAAACATACATGCGCATGAAATAGGCTTGAAATTGCTCGTTAAACACACTTTGCCTTATGGTGCGACATTTGTATTTATTATAGTTGAAACGATCTCTTGGGGATTTTTAGAGAATGCAACATAACGAGAGCTGAAGCTGCTTAACAATGTCCAATGCGGTATATATCAGTGTTTTCCCTTCCCTACAGACCCTCTCAGGTGTTAAGATTGGCAGAGGGGGCCCACCCTCTTGGTAGTTCCCCCACCCCTACTGGGAGAGGGGTAGACTGGGAGAGGGAGTTTTCTATGGCAACTCCTAAGCTGTGTAATTCCTTCCCCAGAGAGGAGGAAATCTTCATTGTGCAGTTTCCATTATATGCTGAAGATGTGCCTCTTTACCCTGACCTTTGACACCTGAAATATGTATTTTAGGAGCCACCCTATTCTATTGACTGTTATTGTTTTAACTGATTTTAATACTGTATTATTAAATTGTGGAAACCTGTCTTGAGACCTCATAGGTGAAAAAAAAATAACAATTTACTATTGTTACTACTACTACTACTATTCCATTTGCTATTAATGTTTATGTTTGACTCCTTTTTGATTATGCCCAGCACGTGCCAAGTTGAGGAGCATACCCAATTCCTCTCTTCAAATCAGAGGAAGTATGCATTAGTTCAATAATATATTTAGGAAAATATTTTTTAAAAACTAAGAAGTAGTAGGCCATGGCTGAACGTCAGATAAAACATACCCCATGCCTACTTTTTATTTACTGAACTACTTTTTAACTTCCCTTGTTGGTGTCCTATGAAAGGTGGATTTTCTGTTGTTGCAATAGACCAAAATTTGCTTTGTGTACTGGGCCACCAAGTCCAAATCTTTTACCAGATTTTTTTGTGTCTGCTGAGTCAGAGTAGGTGTTGATTCCTCTTCCTGCTGATCATGTCCATGTGATCTCCACTTCCTTCCTCTCCTGCCAATTTCAGCAGAGTTTCTATATTTCCCCTTTAAAATGTCAACTAAGAATATGATGGAGTTGTGTAACATTAGCTAGCTATTTTTCTATCATCCTCAAGTACAATATATTCTTAATCAGTTTGCTGGCACTGCTGCAAGTGTAAAAAGCATATTGGCAAATCTTGGCTGGCATTGCTATGAACTAATTTTTGGAGGCTGTTTTGCATAACAATATTCCATCAGATCTAAAATACATATTTTTATATTAGTATCCTCACAGCCTCATCTTATGCATATTTACAAAGAAGTCTAACTGAGTTCAATGGAATTTTCTCCCTAGTAGATATGGATTGGTTGAAAAACCATGGAATAATGATAATAATAATAATAATAATAATAATAATAATAATCAGAAAGTAAATGGTTTATTAAGAGCTGATTGCAAATTGCAATCATCAAATAGCAAGATTTTGCCTTTTTTTAAAAAAAAAAAACACCCAACTTATTTCACAATTTGTAAACCATGTGTTCAAGGGGGACTTGTTTTCAAAAATTAGCGAAGCACTGACTTAATGAAAAACAGGCACTTTTTAAGGCAGTAATTCCCAAACAATAAGGGCATGGAAGCCTTGTAGTTTGGTCATCCAGCTCTCAGCAGAGGGTAATAGAAACAGTATGTTTCATCAACTGGAATGGAGGCAGAACTCTCTGCTACTTTTGAAATTAACTCCTCTTCCCTCTCGTTAAGCTGCCAGTGTGACATTGTGACATTTTTGTCAGCGTGTCCTGAACTGTGATGTAAAAGCAATGTTGTGGTTCCACACAAAGTTGGCCGTGCTTTGGTCCTATTGAAAGCAACGGTACTTTTTAAGGTAACAACAACCAACTTATCCCACCAATTTCAATGTGACATTCTGAATCTAATCTGGTGGGTGCCTCTTTTACAAACCCTCGTTCTAAGACTCCAGATCTTCCCATCAGATTCAGGCAGGAATCCAATGCCAACATAAACCAAGGGGCAGAAGTGACTCCTGTTTACCTTGCTAGGCAGTTCTCTTCAGCAGCGCACCTCAGGTTGTACATGGAAGTCCTCTGCACATAAGTGGATGCTTGGATGTAGTACGGATCTGGTACCAAGTCTGGGAGACCTGCAGTGCATCATGCCACAACACACACACACACACACACACACAGAGAGAGAGAGAGAGAGAGAGAGAGAGAGAAACAACTGATCAAGCCCAGAACATGTTTGCAAACTTCATTTTGCCTATCTTAGAGGAGTCACAAACTAAATCTTCCTAAACACTACATACAATCCACATCTCTCACACCCATGGGTGGTTAACAAGAACCAAGAGTCATTTTTCTCAAGATCAAAAGGGGGGGAGGAATATGAAAAGACAACGTGCCTTGCAGATTGGCAGATACTGTGAAACACAGCACTCTCCAAAGCAATTTTTCTCATAAATCTTCAAGGCATTCTTCCTCATAAGGACACCAGCTGAGGAGTACACTTAAGTCTGCCAGATCAAAATACCAGAAATGTGTCCGACACTGTGGAGCTTTGCTCTTTGTTATATGGACCTGCAGCTATGCCGAAACAAATGATGCTGGCCATCCATTAGGCAGGTTGTGGTTTGAATTAACCCCGTTCAAAGAGCCTGAAGATGAAGGGCATCTTCCAGCCTTACTTTAAAGCAGAGAGACAGAGCATTGGTGCAAGTTTCCTTTGTTCTGGGAGTGGGGAAATTTGGGGGCAGGGGTGCTATAATCATTAGGCTTCTTTCTTCAAAGCGTGTAGTAGGGGTCTTAATTGATCCATGGTTCAGCCCCAGCAGTTTGCACACAGGAGCAGATTTAATAATAACAGTGCCTCTGAGCATGCGCAGAGAGCTTTTTTGATAGCTGGCAAGGGGGCTTGTGGGCTGGAGTTAAAATGTCAGTGCAGCAGTAGGACAGAACCCCACTCCCTCCAGCATAAAGGAAATGAACCACCGCTAAGATAACAGAACGTTTATCCTGAAAAACCTTCCCACTCCAGCGCTCTGCACTGAATTGTAGAAGTTGATTTGTGGGTTGTTGTTGTTTTTTTAACATTACTTTTTAAGGTACAGAGAAACAACCCTTGTTGAAAAAAAAGTTTCCAGTGAATAAGGGATATTCTCGTGCAATAAGTTCCAGGCTGACAACAACGCAGACACGGTGAGGGGCAAAGGGGGAGGGCTGGAACCAGATGGCGAATAACGGCAGTGGAGCCGGCCGCCTTGCCAAGCGCTCCGTGTTAAACGTGCCGTCTGGCGGGGAGGGCAGGATTTGCCACGTGGCTGCGTCGGGGTTGGGTTATTATTATTATTAACTGAATTTATATACCGCCCTATACCCGGATGTCTCAGGGCGGACGGCAGAACAAAATCAAAAGATAAAACCACAAAATATATACTCGAAATAAAAACAACGACCCCCTCCCCCCCCAAAAAAACCCACCACGTTTTAAAAAGGGTGGTTGGGGCTTTTTTTGGAGGGCGACTGCTGTTGGCAGAGCAAGCGACCAACTCCACGTTTAAGTCACTGCAGGGGCGCAATTCCTCGCCACACTTTCTCTCGGAGAGGCAGCGCCCGTCGCGTGGCAAACTGCGCGCTCTTACCGTACTGGAAGTAACCGGTGCCATAACCGGGCCGCTGTCGGCTGTCGGGCCGGGGCCGCTCGTACGTGTCGTAATAGTTATAGTACGGGTTGTCGTCGGAGTACTTGTACGGGTTGTAGGGGTCATCGCCCACCATGCGGTCTAAGCCGCGCGCCCGAGGGAAGTTGCTCAGAGGAGGCGCGCCGCTGCTGTTGCCCGGCCTGGAGGGGGCGCTGGCGAGGGGCGTTCGCCGAGAGCTGCTGCTGGCAGCGCCGTCTGCCCCGCGCCCCCTGTCGCCGGCGGGCTGCTGGTAGCCGGCTTGGAACCAGTGCTGCGCCTCGGGTCTCCGGGTGGTGCCGTCGGCGGCGACCGCTTGCGCCCTGCGCGGAGCGGTGCCATTGCCCCGGAGGAGCAACACGTGGCCGCCGTGCGCGGGCTGCTGGCTTGCGCGCCGCCGAGGCGGCTGGTACTGGGAGCCCACGCTGAGCAGACTGTATAGCTGCCCCTGGTTCTCCCACTGAATCCTTTGCCTCCACACGGCCGGCGGCGGCGGGTTCCTTGGCTGAGGCAGCGCGCCCGACGGCGCGCACAACAGGCAGCTCCAATAGACGCACGCCAGCAGCTGGGCTACACGGAGCAGCAGCGGCGGCCGGGTGGAGAGGCGCATAGCGGCGGCGGCGAGTGGGGTACCCCTTGGCACCCCTGGGTCCTGGAAGGACCGTCCGAGCCAAACAACAGCCCGACGGCGAAGAAGCAGCTTTGGCAGGCGCCGGGGCGCTCTCTTCGTACACAGGTGGCAGATTTCCCCTTTGCAACAAGCGTCCCCTCTCCTCCTCTCCAAGATTGCGAAAAGGAATGCGCTCGGCGCGGGACTGAGCGAGCCGCCTCTCCCTCTTGCTTTTGCTGGTGTCTGGAATGAAGCGGCAGCGGAGGGAGGGAGGGAGGGGCGGAGGGTAGGTGGGTGGGAGGAGATGAGGGCTTTTTAAACTTTTCTGGCACGTTTGCAAAGTTACACAAGCCCATTCTGGCAGGCGGCTCCTGCGCTATTTGTTCGCGTAATGCGCTGCGAAACGTGCCGGCCCGACAGTTCCCGGCCCGTTAAACAAAACAACAACAAGAATCCTCTTTTCGCATCTCTGCCTTCTCCGTCAGGCTTCCAGCCTCGTGCACCCCTAAGGCTGCGTTGCCACCTTTGTTTGGCAAAAAGACAGGACCGGGCGAGACGGGGCGGTTGGTGAACCGTTGTTCTTCTTTCATCTGTTGCTGAAAGGGCTTCAACGCGTTACAGTCGAGCTCAGTTGGGCAAACACAGTCATGCGTTCGAGCCCCCAGTTGGGCAAAAGATTCCTGCATTGCAGGGCTTGGACTAGATAACCCTCGCGGTCCCTCCCAAATTCTATGATTCTACGATTACAGCCTAACAGGATGGCCCCTCTGGAACTGGTCACAGACACACGCGCGCGCGCGCACACATGGATTTGTGAATCTGTCTGTGCTTGGCTACCCCGGGTTTAAATACAGGAATTTGCCATTCAAACACATTCATTTGGAGAGGATCCGTAACTTGGCACAAGGAGAAAGATAGAGGAGAAGGAGAAGACCTGAAGTACAGGACAAACAATACAGGACGTAGCGTTTTGCACTGAAATATGGGGCAATCTTGTATTATACAGGACAGGGCAGGTGGCAGCCCTGCGCTACTCCTGGCTCTGATGGCCTAGACGGACAGGACCAGACAGCTTATCTACTAGGCGCTCGGTTCAGCAGGGGTCTCCCTCTCTCCACAATCTGCAGGCACCTCGCCATCCAGGGTTAACTGCATGCAGGCCTTTCGCTTCACTCAGACAAGTCAGGCTGCCAGGTGGCAAAGGACTGCCAAAGTATGCAGAAAGAGAGAGAGAGAGAGAGAGAGAGAGAGAGAGAGAGAGAGATGTTATTAGATCATCAGCCCAGCTAGAGAGACGAGAAAGCAGGCTAAGGGAGAGACGTGGGAGATGGCTCCGGTGAAAATACTTCCCAGAAAACATGTTTCGTTTCAACTGGAGCTCTGGCAGGGGAAACTTGGTGGCGGCTGCAGGGTGAAAAGGGAGGCGGGGTAACGCCTGTAACGCCCTTTTCATTATAGCCCAAATCCTCCTCAAATAAACTCAGGCATACCAGGTTTTGTTTTCCTCTCTCCGAGTCACATGATGAGAACTCCGCGTCTGGTGGAGAAGAGGCTCACTTCGAATCGAGTTCTCCCATGGGGAGGGCTGCTCATCACCCTGAGAATATCAACGGGGCAAAACGTAACGTGTGGAGAAGAGGAGAAATTGGGTTCTCATTTCTCCATCCTTCTTTAGACAAAAGGGTTACTACCTCTGGATCTGAATCGAGATAACCTGACCCACCATGTAAAAGGTAAAGGGACCCTTGACCATTAGGTCCAGTCGTGGCCGACTCTGGGGTTGCGGCGCTCATCTCGCTTTATTGGCTGAGGGAGCCAGCATACAGCTTCTGGGTCATGTGGCCAGCATGACTAAGCCACTTCTGGTGAATCAGAGCAGCGCACGGGCACGCCGCTTACCTTCCCGCCGGAGCGGTACCTATTTATCTACTTGCACTTTGACGTGCTTTTGAACTGCTAGGTTGGCAGGAGCAGGGACCAAGCAACAGGAGCTCACCCCGTCGCGGGGATTCGAACTGCTGACCTTCTGATCGGCAAGTCCTAGGCTCTGTGGTTTAACCCACAGCACCACCCATATACCTAGCTAGAATTTAGGTTAGGGGGTGGGGCAGGACACCCATCATCCTCTGTCATCATCCTCTGTCTGGCTCTGTTTAACAGATTCAGAATGAAATGTCTCTACAACAGTTGCTTTCTTTTGACCCCAAGGGCTTAGGAAAATCTTTCAAAATCTTTCTACGATTTCTACTTTTAGTTAAGTATTTTTATTTATTTACTTGAGGGGGGGGCAGCTGTTAACACCCATGACCTGACTGCACTCCCGCCCCCACAAAGAGGGCAATTAAAAAACCTATTAAGTACAGACTCCAGATATTTTTGAAGTATCTGCATCAGGTTAAAGGATGTTTGTTAAGGAAATCGTTGAAAAGGGAATATTGCAGACCCCTCAGTATTCTCTAAGCTAAGCATACCCAGCTCCCACAACTGGTTATCATAAGGCTTGGTTTCCAGACTATCACCTTGGTAATTCTCCTCTGCACATGTTCGAGCTTGTAAATACCCTTCTTAAACTTTTGTGCCCAGAACTTGGCACAGAACTCTAGGTGGGGTTCAACCAAGGTAGAATAAAGGTAGGGACCCCTGACCATTAGGTCCAGTCACGGACCACTCTGGGGTTGTGGCCCTCATCTCGCTTTACAGGCCGAGGGAGCCGGCATACAGCTTCCGGGTCATGTGGCCAGCAGGACTAAGCCGCTTCGAGCGAACCAGAGCAGCGCACGGAAATGCCGTTTACCTTCCTGCCGGAGCGGTACCTATTTATCTACCTGCACTTTGACATGCTTTCAAACAGCTAGGTTGGGAGGAGCAGGGACCAAGCAATGGGAGCTCACCCCGTCACAGGGATTTGAACCACCGACCTTCTGCTCGGCAAGCCCTAGGCTCAGTGGTTTAGACCACAGCTCCAACCCTCAAGGTAGAATAGAATGAGACTATTGCTTTCCTTGATCTGGACACAACACTTCTGTTGATGCCCCCTAGATCCTGTTCACATGTACTGCTGTCAAACCAGGTGTCGCCCATCCTATATTTGTGAATCTGATTATTTCTGCCCAAGTGCAGATCCTTGGCATTTGTCCCTATTGAGATTTACCAGTATTTTATTAGTTTGGCCCCAGTTCTCCAATCGGTTAAGGTCATCTTGAATCCTGATTTTATCTTCTGAGATATTAGCTATCCCTCCTAGTTTCATGTCATCTGCAGATTCATTGAGTATCTCCTATATTCCTTCATCCATGTCATTTATAAAGATGTTGAACAAAACTGGGCCCAGGACAGAACCCCATGACACTCCATTTCCCCCCAGAATGACAATGAACCCTGGGTTTGGTCCATCAACCAGCTACAAATTCACCTAACAGTTACACTGTCAAGCCCACATTTTACCAACTTTTCTGCAAGAATATTTTCAGGGACTTTGTCAAGGCATTACTAAAATCAAGATACACTACATCCACAGCATCCCCCTGATCCACCAAGCTTGCATCTCTATTAGAGAAAACAGCTTAATCTGGCATGACTTGCTCTGGAGAAAGCCATGGTAGCTCTTAGTAATTACAGCATACTTTTCACGTGATAGCAGAAAAGGTGGGAGTTTTGGTCCTAATTAAATAGGCAAGTGTTTTGGTTCTAACTAAAAAGTAACACAAAGTTCTTGTCTTGATCAACTTAAAATGCAGGGGCGATGAGGCTTCGTAGAATCTGAGTGCACAGTGTATAGGGGAGTTGGGCACAAACTATTCCATTTCAACAGAGGGAGCCAACTGAACCTGCAAATGCCAGTATTCCAGACAAAATGGAAACTTTTGAGCCAAGTTTACACTGGGGTGACTGAGAACAGAGAATGGAGCGCTTTGGCAGCACCCCTCTCCTGTCTGCAGTTTGAAAGCATGCAGGTGTGAGCACTTACCCCTTGCATCTCACCCACAATGTGCTATTTTATATGCAGCCATTCTGCTCCTTTCCTTGGTCAGCCTCACCTCTATTTTGCATATCTGGAAACCTTACTTGGAAAATCAATACAACCCAGGCGGTTAAGAAAGCCCAACAGAGACTCCATCTCCTCAGAGTATTGCAAAAGAATGATGTCCATCAACATTTGATGATCTCCTTCTACCAATCCACAATAGAAAGTGTCCTTTCATACTGCATCACGGTGTGGTACACTGGTTTGACATCAACAGATAGGAAGTGCATACAGAGGGTGGTGAATACAGCACAAGATATTATGGGCTGTCCCGTGAATCCGCTGGATGGAATTACGGAAGAACATTGCCTCAGGAGAGTGAGGGAAATTCTCAGGGATGATTCACACCCTGGCCGGCACTTTCTTGATCTCTTGCCCTCGGGCAGAAGATATAGTAGCACGATTAGTTGCACCACAGGGTAAAGAACAGCTTCTATCCGCGGGCTGTTAGGCTGCTGAATGAAAAGATAACAAAAGGGCAACTGACTTTTGGGTTTGGTGGGTGTGCGTCAATAAACGAGGGAAATTAATACTAAGAGAGCTGAGTGGGGGGTGCTTGTGTAATCTCACTGTATACAAGTTGTACAAGTGACAATAAAGTATTTCAATTTCAGTTGTTACTGCTGCTTCATTATGAAGCAAGGGATTTCACGCAGCCTAATGTCATAGTCCTGTGCTGCCAACTACGGCAGAGCTCAGTGGAGGCAGAAGCCCCCCAACCAGCCGAGTCTCAGGGGGGTACTTGCCTGGAGGCAGAGTCCATATACAGCTTCAGCCCAGTCCTAAGGTCAGGAGTATCTCACTTCACATATTCAGACAATCCGGGGGTCAAGAACACCGAAGGTCCAAGGTCGCAAAAAGCAGCAACGTCTGCCCAGGAATGACGAATGTTGTTTCCAGCAACTGACTGAGGCTGGAAACCCTGCTTAAGAAAGCTGAAGCCCGCTGGTTCACATCAGGAGCAAGAAGGCTGGTGAGCAGCAAGTGGAGTCACTTCACCTTCTGCTCCTTCAAGCTGCTGCTCAGCAAGTGAAGCCGACTCCTGACCCAAGACACCTAAATGCGGATGCATGATAATGCTCTTAGCCAGGGCCAGATTTAGGTTTGATGAGGCCCTAAGCTACTGAAGGTAATGGGGCCCTTTAACTGTCCAGCTGTCCTTCGTTCACAACAAATTATTGCTGTTTTTTGTGTATATGCTATATGGTAATTTATGGACCTAATAGGTAT